CTGCGTGGTCCGGTCCCAGGCAGCGGGCGCAAATGATGTGACGATCCCCGTCCTGGAGAGGGCCTCGACACGAGGCGCAGGAAGGCATTTGAAACAACGCCTTGTTTAAATTTGCTCTTTTAGAAAAGAAAAGTGTCGCGGGGGCGAACACTGATAGCTTTTGAAAAGGATATAGATGATGCGCGCCGGATGGCTTAGCAGAAGGGCGATCGAAGGCGGCTGAAGGCGCCGGCGTCCTCGAAGCAGTCCTGCTGTAGGCTTGTCGACGGCAGCGGCAAAAAGACTCCAACAAATCCGGAGGATCCAGCGAAGAGAAGGTTCTTTGCTGAAGGAGATTAAATCTAAAGAACTCAGACGACGGGGCGCCCAATATATAGCCCTTGGCCACGCCCATCTTGGCGGGCTCTGACGCGCGTGGGCGCGAAGCACGCTCATTGGAAGCGGGTTCAGAGTCGCCCCGTCATTGGTTCGTGCAAGTTGCCGCAGCACAGCCAATGACCGAGCTGCCTCGCTCATTGCTGTATGCTGTGCAGCTGCAATGCGTTTTACATAAAGACTTCAATATTTCTCGAGAAAAGGAGTTTTCCCATAGCGTAAGCTTACGCAATAAGAGGAACCTCTCGAAAGGGAAAGATATTTATCTATACATCAGTTACACTGTACAAATTGTTTCATGTTATTACATTTTCATAAAGAAAAGTTTCGTAAGAAATGTTAGGTAATGTAGGGTCCAAAATTTTAAAGTTGAGACACACAGATATATAACGCATATTTTAAAAGTTTTTTTGTAAACTAAAAATAAAAATGTATTTGCATCCGTTATGTTAACAGCATTATATTTCTGTAGCTCTTCAGCTGATGGACGCCGTGCTGCGTTGTCATGGGAACATCCCAGGTGAAAAAAATGAGGAAATTAATTTCAATTTCAATTTTATTAATGGATAGCCCCTTGAGATGCAACATCTCATTTTCAAGAGGGTCCATACATATAGACATAAAACTATATGTATGGACGCATAGATTTATGGATATCTATGCCAGCACGTCCCAGCCGGGTTCGTCACTTATTTGGTTCCCCTGGAAACATTTCCGTTGTGCTCTGTGTTATTTGCAGCCACTGATCTATATAATGACATTATATGTAGATCAGTGTTTGCAGCGCGTTTTCTTTATTTGTGTTGTGAGCTTTTGCAGCGCGTTTGTATTTGGTGGTGTTGTGAGTATTTGGAGCACACGTGTGTTGTGAAACTGATGAAGATGTTTTCTTAATTTGCGGGTGTGTTTTTTTATTTGCACGTGTTTTTTTCTATTTGCATGCGTTTTATTTTATTTGCATGTGTTTTTTTCTATTTGCATGTGTTTTCTTCAGTTGCAGCGCGTTGAGCTCTCTCGGCCACCGTAGAAGCACAACCAAAACAAGGTTCTTCGCAACATGCACGCAGTTTTGTTTTTGCACCGCTAGAGGGCCAAAAGTTACATCGCACATTTATATACTGTACAAACACATCTTGACAAGTAATTTACAAGGTTAAACAAAATTAAAAACAAAAGTGTAAACTGACAAATGGTCACAATGCAACCATATTAATAATTCATGTCCTGAGGGGAGAGGACAAATTGAACTATATACCATAGAAAAAGAAAAACAAATCAATGTAGGCCTGATAGAAGTGAAAAAAAGAGGCCTTAATCCAAATCACCTGCATTTTTTGTTGCTTTGACTTAAAAATCACAGTATAATGTAAGAAAATCTGGAGATACTTTTGTTACTGAAAATAAAATGCATTTCTTGCTTGATAATTTAAGACTTAATATTCACTCTAAGAATACTTTTTGACCGCATATTATGTCCGCTACTAATGTAAGAATGTTGTTCTATTTTTGGAACTAATACAGTATTTGATCATATTATAATATAATAATAAGCATGCAAAAAATCTTGTACAAACCAAGTGTTGCCACGTGAGGGCAGCAAAGCCGTGATGGGATTATGACCAACTTTCTTTTCCATATTTCCTCTCATGTTTGTCACAGGCAAATACATACATTGTCTGTCTGTATATTTCTAGATATTTCAATCAGTGAATCGCAAAAATACGTGGACTGTCATGAGTGTGTGCGTGTCGGATGAAAGGAAACAAAGAGTTTGGCCAGGACTGTGTGTAATGATTGACAGGAGGAAGGGTTATGTTATGTTAAATGCAAAAATACGCCATCAAGCAACAATGTAAAAATAAAACATGAAAAGAAGTTCACTACGTGGAATGGTATAATTTGCTCAATAGGAATATGACACACCTAGATGCACCAATAACATTCCTGCTCTCATTACACATCCATATTGTCTTATAAAAGCATGGCCTGAAACTCGTTATGTAGTTTAACTTCTTTTTCAGCAATGGTTAGTGAAAGGATGTTTTTGTACTTTGCAAAATGTTGTCAACCTCATGGGGTCAAACTAATATAATGTGCTGTTTTATAGCATTTACGCTCTTCTGCGCACCAAGGCTGCATTTATATGATCAAAAATACAGTAAAAACAGTGACAAATTATTGTAATTTAATATAACTGTTTTCTAGTGTAATATATTGTAAAATGTAATTCATTCCTGTGATCAGAGCTGAATTTTCAGCATCAGTCTTCGGTGTCACATGATCCTACAGAAATCATTCTAATTTGATGATTTGATGCTCAGAAAACATTTTTTTTATCAAATGTTTAAAACAGTTGTTCTGCCTAATATTTTTGTGGATACCATGATAATTTTTTTCAAGATTCTTTGATGAAAGCTAAAAAAGAAAAACATTTACTTCAAAATTTCAGAAATCGTGTAAAGTTATAAATGATTTTAACAGAACAAGTAACGCAAGTTACATAAATTACTTTTTAAAGTAAAATTTACTTTAAAAGATACTTTTAAAATTTACAACAAAATAGTTCCTATTCAAATTATTACATTGGTTTCCCATGTTTTGACGGACACTTCTTTTGTCCCCGCAGAGGCATAAAGCATTGTTTTCCTAAGTCAATGCCGTCAGCTGTTTCATTACCAACATTCTTCAAAATATATTTTGTGTCCGGCAGAAGAAAGAAACTCATACAGGTTTGAAACATAAATAGTAAATGATGACCGAATTTTCATTTTTTGGGTGAACTGTCCCTTTAAGATTAATCTCTGTTTGTCCTCTGTCAATTTTTGATGAGAAGAAATGATAGGAATCCTACTTTGGCAATCATTTAGTCTATGTTGATCCACTAGAAAGAGAGTATCAGTTTGGCAAGATCAGAGCTGGTATTTCCAGAAACACTTGCTTGGCCAAAAACACTCGTCACAAGGAAGCTTTGAATAGGAACTCTTTTCTTTCTCCTGCTTTCGTTCCTTCTCACTGTTTGTGCATTTATGATAAAGAGTCGGAGTGTTCTAGTGATTCCCAACCAAGGATATGCACTTGGAGAGATTTTTGTTTTTCCTTCATTAAACCCATTAAATGCACACACACACACACACACACACACACACACACACACACACACACACACACACACACACACACACACACACACACACACACACACACACACACACACACACACACACACACGATTAAAATAGATTAGTTTAGTTCCAGTTCTTTGTGTAATGGAAGAAAATAGCATAGGCCTAATATAGGTGCAGTATTCTCCGAATGTTTTGTACCCACAGTATCATTTTCTTGGTGACTTTAATAATAGCCTATCAATCATAATGCTAATTTCGATTGCACATTTCAGTTTGATGTCGATGAGTGTTTTTGATGGGGCTGCAGGGGTACAGAAGACAAAAGAGGTTATGGGAAACACTTTTAGTCTATGGAGCAATCACACTTTACCCCTCTCTAGAAAATCATGAATAAATCATGAACATAAATGGTAGGAAGGTTTGTGGGAAGAGTCATAAGTAATTTAACATTACCCCCCCCCCCCCCCCCCCCCATCCCCATCATTTCACACATTAGACAATTTCACATTCGCAGAATGGTGTTTTTTTGTTTTTTTTCCTAACGAAATACAGCCACAAATCACATGCTTGTTTTGAGACCTATTAGATATTTGAGATAAACTAGTATCTAATATAAACCGAAGCTAGAGTGAAAAGTAGCTATTTTATACAAATTAACCCCTTAACTGCAACCCTTTTTTTGTTGTTGTTGAGCATAGACATGAAAAAGATGAAAGGCTAAAAGGATTTAAAGTTTTCATGGTAATACAATATCCGATTGGCGATTTAAGTTTAATTAAGCTTTCGAATGATATCTAATTTATGATGATTAGCCTATAAAACGTGATAGGGAAAAAGGCAATTAGGTGGTTAAATGTTTTTATTTTATTGTTTCTTTAATATAGGCCTACTGTGTCTATTTAATAATTTTTGGACATTTATTTAATATGTAGGCCAGGCCTAGACTATTGGTAGACAAATTGCAAGGGTTGTAAACATTTCAGAAGCGGAAGTCGTCATAGTTGGGTAAACTTCTTTAGCGATGAATGAGAGAATACATGTCGTATTATAATATATTTATAATTTATATTTAAATGATAATATATTTATATATGTCGTTATATAAAGTAGCTGTGTTGCGTAAAGTAGTAGTGTACATTAAAAAAAACATTATAAACATAATCTAGGCTAGCCTACTAATGTGGTGTACATTATTTTTTTAAAATCAATATTAAAAACAACATTTTCAGGATTTACGACGCTAATGACCGTTAAAACGCGTCATCACAGTCTGTGAAAAGGGTCCATTAGTGGAAAGTGCCATTTTCCATTTTAAGAGCACATTCCCAGCCCAGGCAGAGCTGCATATCTGGTCTGTCGGGCTCGTGTGTGTCTCGTTTCGGAGCAGAACGGGTTAAAGACCGACTCTGACTCTGACTGTGCAGTCCTCCCTCCCTCCTTCTCTCCCTCCCTCCCTCCATCAGTCTCTTCCCTCGGTGCACTTTACTAGCCTTTAACAAGAGGGGGGCTCTGTTGCCAGCGAGGTTGGCGCCCGGGACTTTTTTCGGGATATGTACCAACAACTCCTAACCGGATAAGGCCTCCTCCACAAAGCGAAACAACACAAACACAGAGGCAAAACTTTAAGGCAAAACTTGAACGTCTGGTGTTTTTGAACCAGATTCCAGAAACTAGCAACACTGGAAATATGCGGAGATGTCGAGGGGAGGACAACTACCGATAGGATCCCACAGTTGGGACTTTTATGTCAAGCAATGAGAGGTAAGGACACAAAGGACGTGCAGACGACCACGATTTTGCCACTCGCGAGTTAAAATAAGATTTCAAATCTTACTCTATTATTCCAGCTGAGTCACGCAACAAAATGCATTATGCCGCCTTTCTATGGAATAAAATCACTCTCTCTCTCTCTCTCTCTCTCTCTCTCTCTCTCTCTCTCTCTCTCTCTCTCTCTCTCTCTCTCTCTCTCTCTCTCTCTCTCTCTCTCTCCTGCCGCAATACCGCATTATGAAGGTGCGAACGCTGCGAAAGTGGCTCTTTATTCTTGTCCCACGACGTTGAAAAGCATTTGAATGGTTTTAAGGGTCTGATTTACTTTCTCAATATTAAAACTATGTGAGGGAAATGAAATGTGGGAGAGCTGGTTCTCCCCACTGATTGAAAGTTGATCTGTATCTTGAAGTGGACTACAAAAAATAAATAAAAAAAATGTATGAGGGAACATTTGGTTAATAAGGCCAGTTATTGCCATATGATTTATCTGAAATATAACGTGAATATACGCTATACGCTATTTTACATTTAGACAAAAGTATAATAGGCCTACAAACTTTTAATGTGGAAATTCTGTAGGTTACAGGCATCCTTTTCATTTTAGGATTATTTAGAAATATTAATAAAGATTATGTCTTTGTTTGTGCCCTTTCAGTCTACATTTTAATGCTGATATATCTACAAACTTCAACAACAACAACAACAACGAATAGGCTATACAATAAAAAACCTTGGTAACTGGGTAAACCCTATATCACCCTATATCAAGTGATAAAACCGTGATATTCCTGAAAGTGTGATGTCAAATCACAAACCTTTTCTAATTTATGTAGTTCATAGTTCATCATAGTTTCATAATTCATAACTTCATATCCTATATATTTGTGTGTGTGTAAACAAATATATGAAAATGTAGGCCTATTTCTAAATATATAAATTTAAATATGCCTATTGCCTAATATCACGTAGTAAGTGGTAATAAATTTCTTCTTTTTTGTACTAGCCTACAGTAACCCCCTGATGGGGTTGGATATGCAGACCTGATTTTTCTAAGAGAAAGGCTTGCAGATCCAGATTCATGTGGTTAATCATTGTGTATTGTGCCCATGTGCCAGCAGGGCTTGTTTTTGAAATTCCACCCTCTTAGCGCAGCGCTGTGTGATCCAACAGACTCTCAGCAGAAATGTGATGTTAAGCAAACTGCTGTTATTGATTGTCGTCTAAAGCCAGTTCAGCGAGAGCTGAATGTGTCACCACCACGTCAAGGTCATGGCCTGTGCACTAAATGTATGAGATTAGGTTCTCATTGCTGTATGATGCATGCAAATGGCTTTGATGTGTGCGTGTCTTTTTTATTCAGGGTGTGGACTTGTTTATATAAAATTATTAATAATTTTTCAGAGGAAACTAACAATGACTACAGTGTAGACTACTGCAATAATGTGTAATCAATAACATAAAACAAGCAGTAATATTTCCAGTCTAATAAAAATGAGTAATTATACTGACTGTCATCATTTATTCACCTTCATGTCATTCCAAAGTATCACTTTCTTTCGTCTATGACCACAAAGTAAGACTACACCCAGTGACATTTTTCACAATATCTTCTTTTGTATTCCACATTGTAGCGACATAGGTGAGCAAATGATGAGAGAATTATCATTTTTGGATAAACTATCCATTTAAGCTTTCAGCTAAAACTTTTTCAATCCAACATTTGAGTTTGTCTCGACAGACTTTCATTAGAGTGTAACTGAAGCTGTGTTGTTTTTTCCATCAGTGAGTAATGGATTTCCTATTCCGAATGACTTTATATACAAGTTCTCATGTTCCCACATTGAGATGAAACACACTGAGAGTTTAATCCCTAACAGTATGCTTTTAAAATGATATAAGCTCATGATATTCTTTTTCTTATAGTTTATCAAAAAGAAAGATAATACCATTATTTGCATTGCTTAAGACTACAAACGAAAGCACAAAAATGGTAGACTGGCCATTACACCAACAGTTTCTGTTCAAAAACCCATTACATTTTTTTACGGTCCTCACTCATGAAACACCGCAGAATTAGTGTGTAAATTGTTCAACTATTGTCTGACTGAAACCCTTCATAATATATAGTATATATATATATATATATATATATATACACTCACCGGCCACTTTATTAGGTACCCCATGCTAGTAACGGGTTGGACCCCCTTTTGCCTTCAGAACTGCCTCAATTCTTCGTGGCATAGATTCAACAAGGTGCTGGAAGCATTCCTCAGGGAGTTTGGTCCATATTGACATGATGGCATCACACAGTTGCCGCAGATTTGTCGGCTGCACATCCATGATGCGAATCTCCCGTTCCACCACATCCCAAAGATGCTCTATTGGGTTGAGATCTGGTGACTGTGGAGGCCATTTTAGTACAGTGAACTCATTGTCATGTTCAAGAAACCAATTTGAAATGATTAGAGCTTTGTGACATGGTGGAAGTAGCCATCAGAGGATGGGTACATGGTGGCCATAAAGGGATGGACATGGTCAGAAACAATGCTCAGGTAGGCCGTGGCATTTAAACGATGCCCAATTGGCACTAAGGGGCCTAAAGTGTGCCAAGAAAACATCCCCCACACCATTACACCACCACCACCAGCCTGCGCAGTGGTAACAAGGCATGATGGTTCCATGTTCTCATTCTGTTTACGCCAAATTCTGACTCTAACATCTGAATGTCTCAACAGAAATCGAGACTCATCAGACCAGGCAACATTTTTCCAGTCTTCAACTGTTCAATTTTGGTGAGCTCTTGCAAATTGTAGCCTCTTTTTCCTATTTGTAGTGGAGATGAGTGGTACCCGGTGGAGTCTTCTGCTGTTGTAGCCCATCCGCCTCAAGGTTGTGCGTGTTGTGGCTTACAAATGCTTTGCTGCATACCTCGGTTGTAACGAGTGGTTATTTCAGTCACTGTTGCCCTTCTATCAGCTCGAACCAGTCTGGCCATTCTCCTCTGACCTCTGGCATCAACAAGGCATTTCCGCCCACAGAACTGCCGCTCACTGGATGTTTTTTTCTTTTTCGGACCATTCTCTGTTAAACCCTAGAGATGGTTGTGCGTGAAAATCCCAGTAGATTAGCAGTTTCTGAAATACTCAGACCAGCCCTTCTGGCACCAACAATCATGCCATGTTCAAAGTCACTCAAATCACCTTTCTTCCCCATACTGATGCTCGGTTTGAACTGCAGGAGATTGTCTTGACCATGTCTACATGCCTAAATGCACTGAGTTGCCGCCATGTGATTGGCTGCTTAGAAATTAAGTGTTAACGAGCAGTTGGACAGGTGTACCTAATAAAGTGGCCGGTGAGTGTATATATATATTGTATTTAGAAAAAATGTTTTTAAGACCATTTCACACATTCTAATTCTTTTTTTCATGAACAAGACCCATTGATTCTTGTACAATAGGAATGGTTTGCAAGTCTTTTTTTTTCAAATGAAAGGCTAGTAACTCCTGCTGCACGTTGTTTGGTTGACTTGGGATGTGTTGTTTGTACATTTTTGTGTTTGATTAAATGTGTCAGTGACCAGGAGGATGCTCCTAATGGCACTTTTAGATTTTAGTTATAGTTTGTTCGTGGTTACAGACATGTTCACATTTTTCTCTTTCTCTTTTGAAGTGACAGAACTGAAAGTGTACATTATCTCGGGTCATTTGTTGGGATGTAAGTCCACGTGGCTTTAACACTGATGTAGGCCTATAATGTGAATTTCAAGTTTTGCTGGTTCTAAGCTAGTTTAACCAGTGAAGTTGGGTGTCAAAGGTTTTGCTGTCATTTTCCCCCCTGCAACTTTACACTCGTAAAAATATGAAGAATCTTTAACATCCATGGAATATTTCCATTCAACAAAAGATTATTTAAAAGGGTTCTTTAAAGATAAACTTTTCATTGAAGGGTTCTTTGGAGACCCAAAATGGTTCTTCTATATGGCGTCACTGTGAAAATCCTTTTGGCATCAAGCAGTTTTTCAAACAGACTCCTCTGTCTTCTTCGGGATATTAGACACAGACAGGTAGTAAGATCAAAGTCCCTTTAAAGCAACACTAAGTAAGATTTTTTACCTTAAAATAATGTTTCCAAAATCGTTTCAGTGGTTCATTAAGTCGTAACCGGGTGAAAGGCACTTCTGGATTCGCTTTGTGGTCCTATATCTGCTATAACCACGCTATGTAAGATTGCCAGATCGGGTCGCGTTTCTGTAGTTCTAATGAGACATAAGAAAACTACAAATTGGACTTGCTTTACGTCAAGCGTTACAATAGTCATTATTTTGTTTTTCTTCGTTTCTGATGTCGCAATACATCATACTTTAGTGAAATCATGCAACATACTCTACCTCGTCTGTGGACATCGTTCATTCCAAAGCCGGTGCTGGATAAACAGCGAGCGTGCGTGCGACCGTAGGCTGCGGTAGGCTAAATTATTTACGACAGCAGTAATGGACACTTCCGCTTCCAACCTGTAGGGCGACCGCAGAGGAAAAGTTACTTGGTGTTGCTTTAAGACAAGTCATTTCATTTGGCGGCCATCTTTGAAACGGCTCTCGGGCATGCAAGTGCAGCTCCTATCTCTTTGAATAGGGAATCATCAAATTCTCCAAAACTGTTTGCCAAGATTACGATTAAATTTGATATTTGAAATCACCAATGAAATCTGACAGCAACTGTCTCATAAATTTGGTTTCTAAATGCTCGAATCATGACAGAAAACAAATTTTTTTTCAGGCTGGATCAAGCTAATGCTCCTGCACAGTGAAAGCGCGTGTCTGACTGTTTCTAGGAGCCGGAGCTTCTAACGGCAGCTGCACTGATGCAGTGACTTTACCAATCTGTGATTGGCTCTTATTTAGAAGGCGGCACTTATTCCGCCATATTAAGCGTTGCACTTTTCCCCATTCAAAACAATACAAGTGTACAAGTTTGTGCTATTCTGTAGTCTTTGGTTAGCCTGGCTCCGCCCTCCTACGTACTTCCGCTCAATTTTCATTTTCCTTCAGTATACGTCTGGGATTGTGGTGTATTCTTTGGTTTTCTCCTGTAATTTTTTTACCTGTCCAATCAGCGAACAAGGGAGTGGCTGAGAATGATGACGTTGATGTCGTGCGCTAGTTTGAGTCGTCATACGTCACGACCAAACATTAGCGATTGGTTATGGCATATCCCGAGTGGCTCTGGGCAGATCCAATAGTTTTAAACTGCAACAGAGTACCCTCCTACAAGGAAGTTAACGCTTGTCAATGGAGCGAGGCCAGACTCTCTGTACAAATGAAATGTACGAGAGTCTGGTGGGACCAGGCTAGTCTTTGGTAAGACTCAACCCACACTAGCATCTGCTGGGCACTGATAGTGGTAGAGACACTACACACTTGAGCTGTTTTGACTGAATGGCACATCTTTGATACCCAAGATTATTGGCACAAAAAGACCCAAAGAGCAGACTTTTCGGGATGTTTCTCCGTCTGCTTTCCTCAGCTGTTGCTCATTACTTTGAAGACATGTTGGATGCAGATGATTTGTGTTTTCTATTGATTCCATATCCAGATTGGCATTTAATATACATTTAAACTATAATACATTTTAATTTAATTGTAAAAAACATGCAATTAAATGTCTGAAAACATTGCATTCAGTTCACTTCACACTTAAGTACATTCTTAATCAAGAGTATGTGTATTTGGCGTGCCTTCCGGGGGACATGTGGCCCGAACCAGAGTACAAAACCCCCTACAATTCCTGGCTGGGATAGGACCTGTTGAGAATTTGAGTTGGGGTGAAGGAGGGATGCTGGAAAACTGTCGTGGGATGGGGGTGATTTGGCCATTTATATATAGGCCTCTGGCTGATTGGGTAGATTTATCTGAACGAGCTCCTACTGAACTTTTTTTAAAGTGTATTTTTTTCTGTAATAAATACTCTTTTTTTTTTTTGTATGAAGTTTGCTAAAGTCTACTTTTTTAGAACACAAGGGTAGGTTTTGCCAAAAAGCTACTGAATCCATTGAAATATAGGTATTTTTCCAAAGAAGTTGAGGGAATCTCATCTAAAGTATGTTTCATTGAGATGAGGCATGTTTCTTGTATGAAATGTAACATTTTTATTTTCACCTCTCTTTTCTTCAGGTTAACAAAGCTGTAGCACGAGATTTCTGAACATTTCGTCTTTGTGGCGAAACATCACACTCATTATAAACAAAAGTGCATCCATCGTCATCACCCCACACCCAAAGTCATCATGACGACCTCTTCTTTACGGCGCCAGATGAAGAACATTGTGAACAACTACACGGACGCAGAGATTAAGGTCAGGGAGGCGACGTCCAATGATCCGTGGGGTCCTCCGACCTCGCTCTTGATGGAAATCGCTGACATGACGTTCAACGTGGTGGCGCTCACCGAGGTCATGGGCATTATCTGGAAGAGACTCAATGACCATGGCAAGAACTGGCGGCACGTGTACAAGGCCCTCACTCTGTTGGACTATCTGATCAAGTCCGGATCGGATCGAGTGGCCCAGCAGTGCAAGGAGAACATCTACGCCATCCAGACTTTGCGGGATTTCCAGTACATTGACCGGGATGGGCAGGACCAGGGCATGAGCGTCCGGGAAAAGTCCAAGCAGCTGGTGGCTCTGCTCAAGGACGACGAGAAGCTAAAGCAGGAGCGATCACAGTCACTCAAGACCCGTGAGCGAGTGACGGGAACCAGCGGTGCCATTGGTTATGGATCTTTACCGCCTCCCTACCCAGGACGTCAACCCAGCATGGAAGCAGTGTATGTTGAGGAGCATAGCAGGCCGAGGGGCTCACCTTCCTCCTTCAACTGTGAGTATGACTGTTTACACTGTGCATGAATGCAGAGTCACACACTCATGGGGCGTCACTTTGTTTTTAAAAAGTCCTGGAGACAGTTGAATATTAGGTTATGTTTGTCTTTCATGTAGTTTGTAATACAGCTGTTTCTGAATATGAAGGTCTGCATTTTTTTCAAAGATCAAAGTGCAGATAAATGGAGTTATTGTCTCCCAAAAGAAAGAACTGATTCTGATGTGCCTGAAACGAGTCGTCAGTGATTTACAGTCTTGGTAAATCTGTGGTCTTCATTGGATGCCTACGAAAAATGTCTACTTTGACACTCAAACACTGTTGTTGTAGCCGAGCCTGGAAATGTGATAATACATGGGACAACTTTTTAAACAATGCTGCTGTCAACTGGACCAATTTAACTACTAAAATGATGTCCAAAAAAATTTTAACGGAAAAAAGTGGAATCCAGAAAAGTTTAGTAACGCTTCCTTTTACAGTACAGTGCTTACGTGTACTTACCTAGAAAGTACTGGCTAATATAAAGTAAGTACATGGGTTAGGGGTAGGTTTAGGGGTAGGTTCAGGGTTAGTACCAAATTATTACCCAGTAATTGTAATTACTATAATAAGTACATAGTATGTACATGGGTAACAGGACTGTAAAAGGAAGCGTTACCAAAAGTTTTAACGGAAATTGGGAAAAAATAAAAACGAATTTGGGAAAAAAAAATAAAACCGATTTCAAAGGGCCCTATATTAACAATGGATATTCATCTTAACAGTGTTGTAATTACTTGTACTAGTAGTATTATTACTACTGTTACTAGTGTTTTCAAAGATGGACTTTAAGTGAGCGTTAGATGACGTCAAAGGTAACCCAGTATTTTTTGGACGCTCAATACTTTTTAAGCATTCAAAGTTTTGGTGTAATGGACTTTCAATGGAGGGGCAGAAATCTCTCATGTTTCATTAAAAATATCTTCATTTGTGTTCTGAAAATGTACAGAAGTCACATTTGTTTTTTAATTGATTTCACTGGAATGGATAGTTCCTTCTTTGACTAGGGATTTTGAAAATCAATCAGCTGCCGAAGTTAACTAAACCAATGATTAATCTATGTCAATATTGAAAAATGTGTACAGACACTGTTTACATAGAGAGGTGTATCACACATGGCCTTGTGCTTTTAACCGATAGTAGACATGCTTCATTCTTTTGGAAGTTTATACTTCCTCATTTCTGTGAGCGTGTGATTTCTACAGTTTTAATATGAAGTGCCTCATGAGAGTGTGGATGACTCCATATAGACTTCATCACATGATGCATGTATAACTGTGGCCCATATACGCATCTACATTCTTCCCATATTCATTCATTTACTCACTATTTTTGGAGGCTTCAGGTTGATTTTTGTCGTAAACAGCAATGGTAGGGATAGTTCGCCCCAAAAAAATGGCAGTCCCGTCTTTTACTCACCCTTATGTCTTTTCTAGCTGTATCTTTCACCTGTTGGACATAAAATGCCACCTGGCTTCTTTTGTTTGGTCCACTGTTTTGAAACTGACATTGATGAGTTGCGCTGCATGTCAAAACTCTTGAAAACGCATTGCGGTGATCAAAGATGTCCTTCCCCGGTCTGCATGTTTACAGAGAAACAGAAACCATTTTCTGTTATGTTTTCTGACTCATCGAATTCCTCACATATTTATGGAGCAGTAACTCCAAAATATGCATCTGGGGAATGTGTCTCTACAGCACTACTAGATCAGCTGAAACTGTCAAATCCTTTTACTTGCTGATGTATAAGCATGACAATTTAGCCAGAAGAATCTATTTAAACTATTTAAAAAGTTTACTTTCTATGAGTTAATCAGCTTATCATGTAGTAAAAAATTGTAACTGACTGACAGTTCTAAATTTAATATCATTTTAATTGTAAAATAAAAAAAAAATTAATAATTTTTCTAGACTTCATTACCTTTCTCATATGGTACGATAGACCACATTCAGTTTCCACAAGAAATTATTTTATAATGTTTAATCCACTGAAATCAAGCCTTTGGGTATGACGTAAGGTGCAATGCGGTTTCACTTTTACTGACAATAGACCAACATGTTTGTCATGACGCCAGGTATTTTGGGAAAGTACAGAAATTTCCCTGTGTTTCCGTGTACACTGTTTGGTGTTTACAAGGTCAGATGGTCCTGATCCTGAGTGGATGATGTAAAAGGTTGTGATTTGGGCCACAGAGGTGTCCATGGTAATGTTGAGGTATCCGTATCTCTTCACCAGTGCATTCCAGGCCGGACGCCGCCATTCAGAAGCACTGTAGTGGAAGTGATCGCAACTGGAAAAGCGCAATGCCAGTTTCTGGTTCATCTGCCTCTTCTGGTCCTGGGATGTTTTCTCTGCGGGCACACTGCCTCTTTCAAACAATTCAGATGAGGAAATAATTCACAGTGCATGTAAGGGTTAATGTAGAGACATTAAAGTAGCACCAGCATATGTTGTCATGTACAACAGTGAAATAATATGAATCAATTACATATGCCACACTACTAAAACTAATACAAATAATTAGTGATGCATTAGAATGACATGCCACAGATGGGTGAAACGCCAGATAAAACCTGTATGGGGGGTTATTATAATGTAAGGCCCATCGCCTCGTCCCTCTTCTCCTGCCCCACACAGACACCCTATTGTTTCGACAGCAGAGTTAAACAGGCACAGGAAAGCGATTCCAGCCGGGGCATGGAACAACAGTGATTTGGGTGCTTGTTTAACATTCAGTGGTGGTGCCAGTCCTTTCTCTTCCAAACCAAAAGGTTGAATGAGGCATTTTCTCTTTTCTTCCTCCCAGCCTCCTCTTCCTCGCCTCATCTGGCCCCAGATCTGGAGCGGGCCCGGCCGCAGACGAGCGGGGAGGAGGAACTTCAGCTGCAGCTGGCCTTGGCCATGAGCCGAGAGGAGAGCGAGAAGGTGAGGTTCACACACACACACACACACACACACACACACACACTGGGTCAAAGTAGACCAATCAGAGCAGAGTAGACCAATCACAACAGACTGGGTGTCATCTGACCAATCAGAGCAGAGTAGACAAATCACAACAGACTCGGTCATCTGACCAATCAGAGCAGAGTAGACAAATCACAACAGACTGGGTCATTTGACCAATCCGAGCAGAGTAGACCACTCGCAACAGACTGGGTCATCTGACCAATCAGAGCAGAGTAGACCAATCACAACAGAATGAGCCATCTGACCAATCAGAGCAGAGTAGACCAATCACAACAGACTGGGTCATCTGACCAATCAGAGCAGAGTAGACAAATCACAACAGACTGGGTCATCTGACCAATCCGAGCAGAGCAGACCAATCACAACAGAATGAGCCATCTGACCAATCAGAGCAGAGTAGACCAATCACAACAGACTGGGTCATCTGACCAATCAAAGCAGAGTAGACCAGTCACAACAGACTGGGTCATCTGACCAATCAGAGCAGAGTAGACCAATCACAACAGACTGAGCCATCTGACCAATCAGAGCAGAGTAGACAAATCACAACAGACTGGGTCATCTGACCAATCAGAGCAGAGTAGACCAATCACAACAGACTGGGTCATCTGACCAATCAGAGCAGAGTAGACCAATCACAACAGACTGGGTCATCTGACCAATCAAAGCAGAGTAGACCAGTCACAACAGACTGGGTCATCTGACCAATCAGAGCAGAGTAGACCAATCACAACAGACTGAGCCATCTGACCAATCAGAGAAGAGTAGACCAAAAATTTAAAGTGTATTTTTAACATTAGTAAATCGTAACGAACAAAAGATATTGATGATCTTGCACTTACAGGCATATTCAAATCTTTGTTCATTATTAATAAAAACTGTATTTTGCAAAGTTAGTTCGTATAAAATCATTTTTTTTGTCCTCTTCCTCTTGTATCACCTACATAGACCTAAATAGAAAATCTAAATTAAATTGGCTATTGACTGTGTAACAAACAAGGTTGAACACTATCAATAGGAAATATGTCATCACAGAAAAGAAGTGCAGCACTTTCACGGGGGAGAGGCCGTATGAAACTATCATCTAATCTGAGACGTGTGTTTTAGTGTATTAAAATGGTCTTCATGGAGGTAATTGGTCTTAAATTAGAAGTTTGTTGTTACAACTCATTATTTCCCTGGAGGCTTTAGTACAGCACCACATTTCCAGTTAGCATGTGGGCTAATGGTTAGCTTCTGGAGTGCACTGAAGGTGAGAGCGACATGCCGCTGTCTCCCATCAGCAAGAGCTCAGTCGTGATCCGACAGTGTTGTCAGTGTGTGAGGAGAGGACTTTAGCATCCACACTCACTGATAATGCAGGTCTAAGTGAAGCTACTATATGTGTCACTAGACTGTAGCATTGATCCAGTGCTCATAAATCAGGCTGAGTGGAGCTGCTAAGTAGGGGATACTTCAGTCAAAGACCCATCAGCTCAGTGTTTTTAAAACACTACCATTCAGAAGTTCAGGGTCTATAAGATTTATTAATGTTTTTGAAAGAGTCTCTTATGCTCACCAAAATTGCATTTATTTGATTAAAAATACAGTAAAAACAGTTATACTCTGAAATATTAATACAATTTGAATCAACTGTTTTCTATCATAATATATATTAAAATGTAGTTGATTCCAGTGGTGTAAAGCTGAACTTCAATGTCTCATGATCCTTCAGAAATCATTCTAATACAGTATGATGATTTGGTCTTCAAGAAACATGTCTGATTATTATCAATGTTGAAAACAGTTGTGCTGCTTCATATTTTGTGGAAACCGAGGCACGTTGTTTTTTTCTTCAGGATTCTTTGTTATTAGAAAGTTTAAAAGACCAGCATTTATTTGAAATATAAATCTTTTGTAACATTATAATATCTTTACTGTCACTTTTGATCTATTTAATTCATCCTTGCTGAATAAAAGTATTAATTTCTTTAAAAAAAAGCTTACTGATTTATGAACAGTAGTGTACATAAATACAAACATAAATAAAAATGTAAAAGATTAACTTACTGTAAAATTGTAAGCATCCATAAGTGTGTAAGTACGGAGCCCCTAAAGGGACATGGTGCATTCCCCCAAGAAACTTTGCAATCACTTGTGTAAGGGAAACAGGTTAATTTAGCTCAACGGCAATTATTTATTCATTTATAGGGAATAAACGCATAACACAATCTTGGTAGAAAAAAGAAAACATGTTAAGTATATTTGCAGCCAGACTAATTATCAGTACACTTCAAGTGTGTTAATGATTAGTTAACTTGAGGTGTGCTATTTTGGAACAACTAATTTTGTACTTAGTATATTTTAGTTGTAATTAAATTGTAGTAAACCATACTTTTAAGTGTATTTAGTGTACTTTCATGTGCTGATTTGGAACAACTTCAAGTATACTTACTACACTTTAAGTATATGCTTGTTTGGGACTAATTACATGTTTGATTAGAGATATTAAAGTGTACTTTATTTGTTAAAAGTACATTTTGTCAAACCTGAAAAAGCACCTTATTTAATTGGCATGTTTGTTCTATTGTGTTTATTTCTGCTATTGCTTGTAGTTTAATTATTTGTTCTTATTTGTCAGATTGTTTACTTAACTTTAATAGTGTTCGATATGTATATTTTATATTATACACTCACCGGCCACTTTATTAGGTACACCTGTCCAACTGCTCGTTAACACTTAATTTCTAAGCAGCCAATCACATGGCGGCAACTCAGTGCATTTAGGCATGTAGACATGGTCAAGACAATCTCCTGCAGTTCAAACCGAGCATCAGTATGGGGAAGAAAGTTGATTTGAGTGACTTTGAACGTGGCATGATTGTTGGTGCCAGAAGGGCTGGTCTGAGTATTTCAGAAACTGCTAATCTACTGGGATTTTCACGCACAACCATCTCTAGGGTTTACAGAGAATGGTCCGAAAAAGAAAAAACATCCAGTGAGCGGCAGTTCTGTGGGCGGAAATGCCTTGTTGATGCCAGAGGTCAGAGGAGAATGGCCAGACTGGTTCGAGCTGATAGAAGGGCAACAGTGACTGAAATAACCACTCGTTACAACCGAGGTATGCAGCAAAGCATTTGTGAAGCCACAACACGCACAACCTTGAGGCGGATGGGCTACAACAGCAGAAGACTCCACCGGGTACCACTCATCTCCACTACAAATAGGAAAAAGAGGCTACAATTTGCAAGAGCTCACCAAAATTGAACAGTTGAAGACTGGAAAAATGTTGCCTGGTCTGATGAGTCTCGATTTCTGTTGAGACATTCAGATGTTAGAGTCAGAATTTGGCGTAAACAGAATGAGAACATGGAACCATCATGCCTTGTTACCACTGTGCAGGCTGGTGGTGGTGGTGTAATGGTGTGGGGGATGTTTTCCTGGCACACTTTAGGCCCCTTAGTGCCAATTGGGCATCGTTTAAATGCCACGGCCTACCTGAGCATTGTTTCTGACCATGTCCATCCCTTTATGGCCACCATGTACCCATCCTCTGATGGCTACTTCCACCATGTCACAAAGCTCTAATCATTTCAAATTGGTTTCTTGAACATGACAATGAGTTCACTGTACTAAAATGGCCTCCACAGTCACCAGATCTCAACCCAATAGAGCATCTTTGGGATGTGGTGGAACGGGAGATTCGCATCATGGATGTGCAGCCGACAAATCTGCGGCAACTGTGTGATGCCATCATGTCAATATGGACCAAACTCCCTGAGGAATGCTTCCAGCACCTTGTTGAATCTATGCCACGAAGAATTGAGGCAGTTCTGAAGGCAAAAGGGGGTCCAACCCGTTACTAGCATGGGGTACCTAATAAAGTGGCCGGTGAGTGTATGTATGTAGATTGTTTTCATTTGCATCGTTATTGCATTTTATGTAAAGACATTTCTATGGAATTCTGCTTCCTGATTCGCTCTTAGCTCCTACACGCGCAAAATGTTTGCGTTCCCCCAAGAAACCCGATTGCGCTCTGATTTGCTCTTCACTAACCCCAATCCTCTTCTCCTCCAGCCCGCTCCTGTTGTGGATATGGATGAACAGACACAGCTTCAGATCGCAATGAGTCTCAGTAAGGAGGCGCACAAGGTACCGCATTACCAGGAGTCACGGCTACACCTGCCCTTCGCTCTTCGTTACGCTGTAGTTTCAGTAACGCGCATGCACTGTGTGTTGTAAGTGACACTGCTTGTATATTGTCTGATTGTAAATCTCTAGCCAGTTCCTCTTCCTCCTCCTCCTCCTCCTGTTGCTGCTGCTGCTTTGGACATGGATGAAGAGGCTCAACTTCAGCTGGCTCTGAGTCTCAGTAAAGAGGAACATCAGCAGGTAGGCATCTGGAGCATGACAGTTTCCCACATCTAAAACTATTTCAGCCATTGGAAGACCGACACGTGACATTGAAAATATTTTTCTTTTAACTTCTACCCCTAATTCTATGTGAATACCGCCTTGGAAAAGCACCAATACTTATTTATTGAGTTTAGTTCTTTACTGAGCTTTTTAAATCGTTAAACCCCAGTTTACATTGTACATTTTCATAAACTCAAACTTCTATAACTTGTTTTCTGTTTCACTTTCTTAATTTTTTTCACTTCTACAAAAGTCTGCCAAATGTCAAGACAAATCTTACGTCTATATCCCAAAGCATTCTTAAATTACTACCATTTAAGTTCGAAATGTGCATTTTCATGTCTATTCAAAAAAAGGGAGAGTGACACTTAAAGGGTTAAAGAAACTCTAAATGGTGCAGGCTGATTGGTCCTTAACTCAATTAGCTTGCATTCACATCGTTCTCTATTGGGCACAGCTGATTGGTTCCTGCTGTGTCAGTAGCCAATGAGCTCGCTGCTCAGCCTTCAAATACTTGGTCAGCAGTTGCTTTTCTGACAGTCGGTTTCCTTCAGACACATAAATATAAACCCCTCCAAATCAATATTTATATTTTTCATTGTATATTTTGAGCATCGACGAGAACCGTGAGCTTGTTGTGCCTGGTTCAGGATTTTTCGTATCTGTTCTCCTCTTTGCCTCCGTCTTCACCGTTAACGTCCTGTTTACAGACTTCATAATATTTCACAAATTACATTTTGGGAAATGATTGCAATACAGTTTGTGCTCAAAATAAAACATAAAAACGATTTATGGCCAGTGCAAATCTAGGAAAAAGTATGCTAGGATGACTGTGCATGCATGTCTTTTGTAGACTCTCTTTCTCTCTAAAGTTGTGTTCTTAAGGCTGTCTTCTGTGTCTGTTGTTCGCTAGGAGCAGCGAAGTCGCCAGGGAGACGAGTCGTTGCTCCAGAAAGCACTCGAGGAGAGCAAACGAGAAATGGAGGCCAAAGGAGGAGTACGAGACGACTCTTTTAACCTGTCGGCTGTTTAGAAGCTCTTCTAAATGACTCCTGTGATGCATTTATTTGGAAGAGATTTGAATCTAGAGTTATTATGACGAATCATTCCTACTGTAAACAAGAAGTCAAAGTTACAAATATACATTGACACAAACAGGCACAGCCAGGTGTGGGTACTGCTGTAATTGTAGGAAGGATTATGTATAAGTGGTCAAGCAATTTTGGCACACTTAATGGAGAGATGGAAATTTTGGGGTCGGCCTTATTGTTCTTCGGGCTTTTAGAAGCTTCGAGGTACTGTACTGCAGTTAGATGTCCCCATTCCAGGCTTTTTGTGAACGCTTGTGCATAGATACATACTGTATTGACCTAAAAACTCATTCTGAATGTGCTGAAAGTGCTTTTCTGTCCTTTTCTTTGGCAGTCTGCCATGTTGGATCTTGCAGATATTTTTGCTCCAGCTCCTGATATGCCCTCTGCTGCCAAACCTTGGGATTCATCTGGAGGCCATAGCGGTTTAGCCCAGGCTGGTCCTCTGAGGTCCGACCCCTGGGATAGTCTGGGTAAGATCTGTGATCGAATATAACTGTATCTCAGCTATTTCAACTCTTACACAGTAAAGGCACACCCAGTATTTTTTGACAGATATGTTTCAAATAATAAAGGTGTGAGTGCCCATGTTGAGATCACATTGTCAAAATTATGTTTTAGCCACATGAGCCAATGGCTGTTAGTTCAAGAAAATGTTTTGGCCATAAATGTTTCCTAACAGTACGAAATTGTATTTTGCATTTATTATATTTTCAGTGGAATTTAGTTTTTTTGACAGAGCTGGGGATATGTGACAGGAAATTATAAGGAGATTGATTTGACCTAAGTTGCCCTAGGTTGCCCACACACACACACACACGCAAGCTCAAGCAAGATAATGCAAAAAAAATGTCCTGCCCAACTGGAGTTAGAAATTAGTTACTCACCATAGCCTGTTTTTACCTGCATTTGGTGCAGATGGACTCTTTCAGGTTGCGAAATAAATGAGTCATGGCTGACAAATATGCCTGTGAATAGCGATTAGAATAGGCGTTACTCCGTGACACTGGTAACCAAAAATGTTTGCTGCATCTTTTTGACTCCAAGGAACTCCGGTTGCCAAAGACAATATATGAAGATATTTCTGATACTTATGCTAGAATGACAAAGCTGCTCATTTTCAGACTTTCTGTGTACTTAAACTAGAAGTGGCAGTCAGGGTTATTATAAAAACATTTTCATTGTTTGAAATAAAATAAACATTAGCTGAAATCAAATTAATTATATATATATATATATATATATATATATTTTTTTTTTTACTAGTTGCCAACATTTCACATTTTTATTGAATTAACTTTAATTCACTGGAAGTACTAAAAAACTGAAATAAAAAGTAACAAGAACTCTGCAACAAAATTGCTAAAACTTTAAATAAAACTAAAATGAAAGAAAATATACAAATAAAAACTAATTCAACATATTAATACAAACTATTCTAGTATCTTAATGATACTTAAATAAAACTGGTAATATTATAAATAATTAAAAACCCACATAAATCCATTACCTGAATGTTTTTCATGGTTTATACTTTTTATTACCAATTAATGTACATGACTTTCACTAGTTTGTGTGTACAGTTTTTTTTTTAGATTTATTACTTCCAAATAGTAATTTTTATTCAATAACATTTTAGAGCTTGACAATTTTTTTTAAATAAATTGAGTCATGGGTGACAAATACGCCTGTGAATAGGCATTACTCACATGACATAATATTTTATCACGCTTTTAAAATTCCCTGATATAGTATATCCAAGTTGTTCAGGATGATGAGAAACCTTGTTCTTAAATAAAAACAGCAGTTGTTAAAGGATCAAATTAAAATCCGAAACATGATTTCAGCTTACATCTTGATTCTTGGTTGTTCTAGTTTATCGTAAAGCTTGTTTTGTCTCATTTTAAATAATTTGATGATTTAAGTGAGGCCCCCTGGTTGAGAGCCACTGATTTCCCCTTATATCTGTCAGTATAAAAGCCCAAGACCACTGTTGGTTCGGCCAATGAAATGTAAATCAAAAGAATTACATGGTGCCCCTTTAAGCAAAATGAACGTAAACGTCCAGCAATACTGCCTTAATAATGTGAACTCCACACACCTTTTGGATTGTGTTCAATCAGAGCCCAGTGGCCTAGTAGCCCGTGGCCATGGAAGCTCATGGATGGCACCGCCTGCATTAAGTGTTCGTTCCCAGCCTTGGCCACAGACACATCCTGACCCATGGGACGCCCCACAGAACTCCTCAAGCCCTGTGTCCATCAATCAGACCTGGATCTCCCCGGCACATGGTACAAGCTTAACCACGTCATACCTTACGCAAATAATACATCATACATTGAGGAAATAAAATAACATATACAAGCTATGGCTGTAACACACACTTGCTAAATATACTAATTGAAGATGCTATTCATTTCTTTTTTCCTTTTTTTAACTTTTTTAATAATTGTTCCGGTTCTTGCTGTGCACAATACTCTGGGTTCGTTTTCCCTGAAGTGGAAGACTGATTGTTAAATGTGTGTAACTGCTAAATCGTCAACATGGATGTGTAGCATAGAGATGACCTCGAGTTAGACGTGAACTAAAGGTCACAAAACTCCAGTCAGTGTTTCATGGGTCTTTAAATTCTCTAGGAACTGGAGTGGATCCCTTTTCTCCCACAGTTTCTGACAAACACGGATCTATTGGGCCTCTCAAAACCCCATCGCCTCGTGCAGGAAGTCCCTCAGGCAATCACTGCTCTTCTTGAACCGAATTCTTATTTTTTTACTTCATATTCATATTAATATATTATTAATATTAACAATTACTACTTTGCATTATAATATATTTCATTTACTCATTCCATTTTTGTACTTATTTTTTTTTTGTGTCTGTGAATAGTTTGATTTGACGTTATTTATCATATTTACACTACCTTTAAACATTTTGGGCTTTTGAAAGAAATGAATGCTTTTTAATTCAGCAAGGATTCATTAAATTGATCAAAAATGACAGAAAGGACATTTATAATGCTACAAAAAGATTTGTTATTCTGTTCTTTTGAACTTTCTACTCATCAAAGAATTTTGAAAAAAATTGTTTCCACAAAAAAAGCAGCACAACTGTTTTTAAAATTGATAATCAGAAATATTTCTTGAGTATCAAATCATATTAGAATGATTTTTGTAGTATCATGTGACACTGAAATCTGGAGTAATGATGCGGAAAATTCAGCTTTGTAATATTACATACAATTACATGTATTCACATAGAAAACACTTATTTTAAATTGTAATAATTTTTCAAAATATTACTGTATTTTTGATCAAATAAATGCAGCCTTGGTGAACATAAGATGGTTCTTTAAAAAACATGAAAGTAAATCATACCAACCCCAAATTTGTGAATGGTAGTGTACACACACACACATATATATATATATATATATATATATATATATATATATATAAATCTCAATGCTTTTTTTATGATTTATACTTATATAGATGACGATCTTTTTGACGAGGCTATGGATGGAGGTCAGGCAAATGTAAATGGCCACGGTAGTCCTGAGACTTTCGATATGTCTTCCTTTGGCGAAGGACTACCAAAACCAGCTCAAACCGGCAGTACTCCAGAGGCCTTTCTGGGTCCCACCGGAGCTTCGCTCGTCAACTTGGATTCACTGATACCCTCCAACCCTCCTTCCAAGAACTTCAACCCATTTTTATCAGGTTAGAATGAACCACCAGACCAAACCACTACTTGTCACGCGTGTCAAAATCCATATTATTTGAATTGATTTCGGACTTTATCCCATTTAGGGCTGAGCGCTCCATCGACGTCTAATCCATTCCAGCACGAACCACAACCCCGCCTCACGCTTAATCAGATGCGTCCCAGCTCCACATCCCCTGTACCCACGTCCCTGCCATTTAATGCCTCTCTGCCCATGGCTGCCAGCAACCAGCCCAGCTCCCTTCCCAGTACCTTCACACAGTCTGCGCAGGTCCCGCCGCTGATCCCTGGACACCTGCCTCAACCGCTGCTACCCCTGTCAACCACATCCACGCTTGGAGATCCAGACCAACACAATCAGAACCCGTTCCTATGAAAGACAGTGCGAGCAGATCCAAACAAGCTTTTGAAATGACAATTTAACCACCGACTTGACTTAAAACTGGAACACACTTTTTGTAATGTCTTTGCTTCTTTCACAGCTTCCTGGTTTTGCTCTATGCAGTCACTCTTAAGAGGCGTTCACACATACAGTGGTTTGCAGTGACAAAAACCATTCGCGTTCAACAACAGCAACCGTTGGTAATTCAATGCGGCATAGTTGAGAAATGTTCAATGTTATCCACGAGTCGTCGTGCAATGCGGAGAGCGGATAATGTATCCATCTCCTGTGAGATACTGTAGTTAAGTGTCAGCAAGATTGATGTCGGTTTGGTGTGTCTTGGCCTTACCAAAGAACTAGTGGCAACAAAAAACAACTGTGGCGTCGCATCTGGCCCAAAAAGTTGCGTTTGAACACAACACAAAGGCTACAGCCAACTAGCACATTCGTTCTGCTTCTGTGTGAGGAAATAACTCTCCATACCAGCAGGTGGCAGTAGTCTGTATTTGAATTCAAAAAGGGAAACTTGAAGGACTGCAGATATAAAAATCGTTACAAATTTTTTTTTTTTATATTCTGAAGACCTCATCCCTATGCACTAAATCCTTCGAAGGGTTTACCCTCCAGAGTGAGAGCCTCGACGGGATGAAGGGTGTAGTGGAACAAAAAAACTATTCCTTTGAACACTGAGCCAATTAAGAAGGTGGCATCATCACACAATTGTGTACGCTGCGCAAATAATCATGGGAGCAAATTGTTTAGCAGTTGTACCCTTCGAAATCTTTCATTCCGAAGGGTCCTTTTAAGTGGCAAGTTTTGAGCTCTTCGGTTTGGAACGACCCTTAGTTTGGGGCTTTCGCACCGGGTAGTTCTAGGAACTCTGTAATAGGAACGAGCCACCAGGGTGGTTCCACGAGGACTAAATGTTCCCCTTGGGCCATTTTCCAGGTTGCATTCGCACTGCAAGTAGGAATGTCACGTAAGCCATCACTAAATGGCTCTGGTTGTTTTGCGGGACTTTTATTTTGCATGGCTTAGCCAAAGCCTGAACACACAGTGCTGACATTCTCCGTCTTCATTAGTTTACGATGCTATCTTATACGTTATTAGATAGAACTGTTACACATTGAAAGTAAACGGTATAGGAAAAAGTATGTGAACACACCAAAAAGTGGGTATTTCTGCCATTAGTTCTTGGAAGTATAAAAAGGTTTGAAAGGTGCGAAAGCCCCCTAATATGGCGGACATGATTGTTCTCACTCCGAAGTTTCATTAGGAGGCGTTTGGAACGCAAATTAAACCCATTTGGAACGCAGCCTTCTTTGTGTGCCCTTTTTACTTTGCCATTTGTTTGATTTCGTCACTTTTGTTTTTCTTCTTGTGCACTGGTTCGCTAAGCTGAACAGCCAATCAGATCTATCTCGATCACTTGCTCACCGACGGGCTCCGCCAGAAAATCAAGTCAAATTTATTACAGATTGTTTCAAAGCAACTTCACTGTAATAAACAGGCAAATAAGAGTTCATGTAAAATTGATCAATTATGAAACGCATTCTATTGCAGCTTTACAGAAGACAGTTTCCAGCTCAACTTAATGCAATGTTGATTCAACACACACCGCAAAGACTAGCCGACTGCTGGCCTGGTGTGTCACGGCCTTTACTGTGAGCAGTTTTACCTTTCTGCATCTGTCTATGCAGACATACAGTACAAAGTTAAAATGAACAATTGTGTAGAAAATGGTTTACAGACACTACATCCCAGTTGTCATCATATTTTCAAAAGATTTTGACCAATAACGTTAGGGCATCCAGCAACAAGAACATCAATCACAATCAGCAATACAGCCACTCGTCGACCTCCAGTCATAAAACCCATGTGTGTGTGTGAACGCCTTTCATTTATAATCATATGTATGAATGTCAACTATGCATTACATGGCAATACAGATTGATGCTGGCTTTATAGGAAATGACAAAATAAATGACACAATTTAAAAGTTGAGAATATTTAATCCAACTCCTGCAGCATCAATATCTCCTAAACACCTCATACTTTAAGTATTATAATAGATTTGGAAAGGATAACCCACTTGTTACTTGTTCCATAAAACCCAGTACATAACTAAGCACAAGTCCAAAGACTCTTATACAGTTTTATCTATCATATTCTGATTTCTCGCACCAATTTCTAGCTCTGCTTTAGTGTCTCCTAATTAGTCTGGAGTACCTGATGACTTTCAATGCTGTGCTTTAATTTGCTGGTATCTGAACTGAACACATCCTGATGGCTCACTCTCACCAGTATGACAGGGAAAAAAAAAGGACTACGATTTTGGGGCCAATAATTTAAGTCGCAAAATGTAAAGTATGATGATTTTGTAATATTGGGCATTGACTGTTGAATGAATAGACCTCCAGCAAGAGAATGTACTTACCGTGGTGTTCAGAATGAATTGATGCCACTTACTAACAGAATGTAAGAATGTGAGACTTGCACATGACATGTTGCTCATCGAATACAAGGATGGAGATGAAACTGAATGGCATGTCTGGTTTATGTTTGTTTACTGTTCATACATCATGCTCTCCACCTCTGGCTTGACATCGCTTGCAAAAACTGTATACGGTACTAGTCAAATGTTTGGACACACCTACTCATAAGTTATTCTATGTTTCACTTTTCAGAAAACTATTAAATATCAAATTAAAGGATGGAAATCAATGAGTGAGCAAAATGTCTCATATAGCTTTTAATATACAGTAGTCAACATTTGAAGTGGATCAAAACCTTTCATCAAAGTCAACAGAACAACTTTGATTAACTTTTTTGTACCACACTCAAAAAAAAAGTCTTATTTATTTGAATTGCATATATAAAATTTCCATCCATTTGGATTGCATAGTTTTTACATAGGATGTCTTATTTTATCTTCAGTTTATTTCATCTAAGGCTGTGGCTGAAGTCAGTTGTAGTAGTTCTTGCATTCCTCTTTCTTTCAGTGATTCTGCTTGTTAACAGCAGGTGTTCATAACTAATGCTCAATCACCACACTTAATTATCTCATTAACTTCAACACTGCTTCAATGGTACTTTAACTCTGTAGTGTGCACACATATGAACACTGAGCAGTGTTAATTTAACATGCGCGTTTTTCTGTGTACTATTACATAAATCGTACCTGTTTCATTTGCGTATGACTGACAAATATGAATCACATTCAGTTTATTAATACAATTATATAGATCGTATCTGTTTCATTTATATATGACTGAAAAATATGAATCTCATTGGATTGAAATGGATGGAAATTTGATATGCAATTCAAATACATACATCTTATGTTTAACATAAATGTTTTTTTGAGTGCACTTCAAATGTTGACTACTGTATACACATACTTCACACAGAATGCATTTTTGAATTCCACTGCACTGCTTTTCCATCTTTTTTTTTCAATGTAAACATGCAGTAGACGGGCATCTTTGACCAATGATCTTTGACACAGCGTTTAAGTTCAAATTACTTTTAAAAATGTCTCGACACCTTTCATTTTCTTACATTCCACTGATCACATCTCACATTTTTTGGGAAAAAACTGTTCCCATTCCACTTCCCTGCGTCTTGCGTTTTTGCATTACACTGCATTGCTTTTCCATTGTTTTCTATGTAAACATGCACTAGAAGGATCGTTGCACTCACATCTCACATTTTTTGCAACATCTCGCACAAGACACGGCTTTCTAAAGATGTGGAGCAAAAATAAGTACTACTATAAAAATAAACACTTTTTAGTTTTTACCCAGTCCACTGCCCATGTCTCACAAAACACATTCGGTGTGAACGGCTCCTTATATGTTATATTCTTTAACCTGATGTGTGTAAAGAGTACCTGAAAACCATACTTGAGTAAAAGTACAGATACCTTACAGTGAAAATGACTCCATCACAAGTTACAAGTCACCAAATCCAATTCGAGTTGAGAAAAAGTCGTAGGCCCAGTTTCACAGACAGGGTTTAGATTAAGCCTGGATTAGGCCGTCAATTAGGACATTTAAGTAGCTTTTATAAACAAGCCTTAGAAAAAAACATTACTGGTGTGAATCTTGAGACAAAACAATGGCACCGACTTATTTTAAGATATTCCAGCACAAGTTGCTTTCAGTTAAAACAGCTCAAACATGCATTTTAGTCTGGGACTAGACTCAAGCCTAGTCTGTGAAACCGGCCAATCTGATTTGATTTTGAACATTACTCAAGTATTTTACTTGCACTGATTGTAACACACCAGAGACATGCCAGTGAAAATCAAGAAACTTGATCTGTGAAGCAATCACATTTATTTTCTAAAATCAATAAAACTGAACACCTCGATATTGTAATAAATCAAGGTCGACACAACAGCCTCTTAAACGTCTAAAAACACTGAAGTCTCAGTGCTCAAAAAGGACACAAGTAAACCAATATCCTTCAAAAAGGTCTCTTCAAAATAACAGTTAGATGAAATAATGTTGAGTCAAATTAAATAGTCAAAGCCCACCTGCACTAGATGTGCTGGTTTCGGCTGCAGTCAATCATAACTGCTCATCTCATACATGAAACCCCTGAGATTCAGAAACGACCTGCTAATGTTGTTAAAGCATAAAGTAGCCTTGTTGACTTTGGGTGGGTAAGAGCAAAACGCAAAAGATATAGTACCTTAAATCCCCTGTAGATGGCGATATTGCTTCTTTTGTAGCAGAAATGAACTGCTGCAGAATGATCCCCATGCTAAATGTAAACAAACTTTACATCACAAATGTATTAGAGTAAAGACTATACTTATGCAAAATGTAGTCAAGTATAAAGTAAAAGTTGCTAATATCTTTGATACTCAGTACTTAAAGATACTGTGCCTGATATTTTTTTCTTCTATTTGGGCAAAATGGTTTAAACCCCAAATAATATATTTTAAAAGCAATCGTCTGTAAAAAAAAAAAAAAAAAAAAAACAGGCTCTATGATGCCATCTACTGTTTATTATAGAGGACTGTAATAGATGAGAAGCTCTTTCCAGGGACGGAAAGTCTTGGCCAATAACATGCTCAGGAAAAAGGGGGTTGGGCATATTGAACTCAGGGACAACAATTATAAAATGAGGGAGTCCATCATGAATCCATTTTTCAAGGAAATAAACTTTTAAATATGTCATTTTGGTGATCAAAGATGAGTTTTAAGGGATAAAATGATTGACTACAGGGGGACTTTAAATACTTTACACCACTGATCCTAGGATGCATTCACAACATTTCAAGACATTTCTCCTGTGGAACACATTGGATTTGAGAGCTTACAGAGGAGGGAATAATCCAAGTGTTTAATGGTTGTGTTTTGACCACTTTGGATCATGGTTACAATATGCTTTCATTGTGTGGAAAAGAACCACTCAGAGATTCTTCAAACTAACTATTCCCCAGAGCACAGGACGTCACGAGAGTCGTCAAAAGACCACCAGTTCTACATTTTGCCACGGCTGTTCCTCAAATGAATGTTTGCACAAGCATGTGGCGTGGGACTGAGTTGAGCTACTGAAACACAGCAGCACTGCGATGACTGGAAATCACAAACACATCTTCACGTCACACTTATCAGATGTTAACTGTGACCTGTGATATAATATTAGCCTCCAGTGCTCTGCATCCACATCTCTCATGTATCCGAGCGGTTTGGAAACAGCCAGGCGAGCACATCCTGAAGGCCCTGTCCCGAGCGCCCACTGATCTCTAGTGTTGTGATTGACTGAGGCGCAGTTCTAATGATGTCATCCATCCTGAACAACGACTTCAGCTCCACAAGAGACATGGTGCACGGAAGATCCCTGAGGAAAGAAATGTATTAATGGAGTGAGGAGCGATAGGCTTAGCATGACTTAAATCAGCAAGGGAGACAGTAGCTGTTTCCATCCACCTATTTTGGGATATCTCATTAAAAAAAATGACTGGATGGAAACAAGATGTGCATAAATTCTAAAAATGTGCATAATAAAAAATAAAACATCAGACATCTGACCGCAAGATAACATGAGGGTGTTTATTGAATCTCGTCTGCACGCTCAAGAGATGCAAGTCATTTATGATGGAGGAATAAAGAGTCACAGTGAAGTCGCCGATATCAGCAACTTCCATTTATAATCGATAGTTAGCGCCAAATTACCAGGAAATAACGATTTTGCTCTCTTGAACACATGGGATGAAACGCTGCTTTGTTTGCAAATGTTTTATGTAACTGGATGTAAATGTAGCTAGTGTGTGACCTCTTCTGACCTCTTGTTGAAGAGTATGAGCACAGCGGCAGCGTGAAGCGGCTCCGCAGAGAGAACAGACAGCAGCTGGACGCAGGACGATGAAATCTGGCCAATGTTGCCACAGTCCACCACAAACTACAAGGCATAAAGAACAAATGCATTTCAATAGTGATGGACAACATAATCATACTGTAAATGTACATACAGTCTCACTCCAGGACTCTCAAAACGATGAAGAGAAAACCTGCCAATAATCCTCACGTCCAGTGGTTGATAATCGAGGGATTCTACAAACAAAGCCATTACCTTCTGCCATCTGAGTTATATATTCACTACCAGTCAAATGTTTCAACACACTTCATTCTTCAATATGACATCTGGTTTTCACACTTTTATACTAGTAAATTCATAATAACTCACAACACATATGGGAAGTAGTGATGACAAATGTTAAGCAAATCAAACCTATATATTTAAACTTATTTCTTTCTCATTCTCTTATTTCTTGACTTGTTGATACTCACAATAACGGATGTGCAATCTAAGTAGTATTTTGGCCAAATGGGCCCCATACAGCCTCCCAACTCTCGTATTGTTATTTTCTTCCTCCGAAATATGAGGTCTGTGAGGTTGGTACCGACCTAGAAAATAAAAATAAAATGAAGATATTGCACACACATTTTTTTTTCTTTTTTTTTTTTCTAATAATCACCTTTTGACCAGTCCCGACCCCAACTTATTTCCAACACATGCACAATAATATATATATATATATATATATATAAAAGCTAGTATTTTGTATTTATTCTTTTTGTAAATATATATATATATATATTACTCCAATGCATTATTACACAGACTTTATTGTGATTTAAAGAAACTATTAAACAAACAAACTAAAAAAGAAGAAGAAAACGTCAGACATAATCTTAATTTCCTACTTTAGTTTTAGATAGCATAATTCAATTTACTTCACTAAAACACACTGTTTGCCGTAAACTGCGTATAAAATATTACAGAAAGCTTTATTTATTTGACTAGCTGAACAGCATTAGTGTGAAGAGGAGAGCGGCTCACCGTGGGAAGAGTGACGGGCGCTTCACCCAAATCCGCATGCGCATCCATCTGACACAACTGTTAGTCCAGAATAAAGGAGTCATATTCATTGATAGTGGGTGAGAAATTATAATAAGAAACTATAAAATTTAGTGAGGCAGTCTGTCTTATTTAAACAGCTGGTAAAGGATATTCTGTAGTCGTTTCAGCAAAAGCGTTTTCCCAACTCCAGTTGCACCGAGCAATAAACACATCGCCTCGACCACTCAGCCTGCTAACAGTTAACGTTACTGTATCAGAATAAAAGCGATGTTTTAAAGATTTCTGTTCTACATTCAACCATTACATGGAGAGATTTCCTGTGTCGCCACGGCAACGATGCTATTTTACAAAATAAAAGTCTCCATGTTTCCTGTGTGATTATTTTTGAGGATTCATCGCGCCCTCTGGTGAGCTGTAGCAGAATTGCTCTCCAAACCCATATATCTCTAGTGAAAGAGGAGTGTTTTGTTGTACTAAATGTACATTTGTAGTGTAGGCCTACTTCAAATTATAAAAGTCTTTTTTGTAACTGCAGGTAGGCCTACTTGCAGTCAATATAATATGAACGGAAATGGGCCAAGAGAGACACTTTCATATGTTTCTTAACACACTTAAATAGACTTTTAAAAAGTAGCTATACAAATAATGAAAAATTTAAAGTTTGACTTTAAAGTACATATGTTGAATCGTTATGTTTAAAACATTGTCGTGCTTAAAAGAAGTTGCATCCCTTAAAAGTTTCCATCCCTTCCTTTTGTAAAACGACAAAAGAAAGGGATGAAAGGAGTGAAGAGACGTAGAAGGTACAGACTTTCAAATGTAATGGAAAATCATCCTAAATGACCATGTAATAAATAAAGCTTCTTGCGAGAAACTGAAACAGATCCAAAGTGTTATTAAGACATTCCACTTTTATGAGTATTTTACTATATAGTGTACATTTGTAATTTTGAGAAAGACTTTTGAGAAAAACATTTTTCAGAATTTAAGTTCAAGAACATTGAGGATGACCAAGTTTGTTTTGAATGGAATAAGAGCAAGTCATTTCTAAACAAAAGCATCAACCTCAACGGAAGAGTCCTGTGCAGATGTTGAGGCAGAAGAACCATGATGATAATAATGCATGATTAGAATTATTCTGATATTCTCTGTCCAGATGTAAATCAGAGCCGTGATCAATAAAGTTGAGTGATCAAATACTGTACAACAGCAAACATTTGCTGCATATTTCTGTATTGTGTATCATGTTTTGGGGGTCGGGGAAAAACATAAATCATAAAATGCATTTAAATAATATACATATATTCTCACCGTTAAATGTTAATTGCAATTAAATGAAAATGTATTTTAGTTAAAATGTATATATTAAATCCAATTATTGAATGTAAGAGTGTTTTTGACACACAGTAGTGCATCCTTAGTCACTTTGATATTTGAATATGGTTTATTAGGCTTTTTAAAGGTCTATAATAATAAGCTTCTCATGAATGAAATTAAATTATATGAGAAAGTGTGTTAGGGAAGCACAGACAGTTCACTAGATACTTCATCTGTCCCTAGTGCACATCTTTTCTTTTTTCAGATATGCTGTATAATTTCTTAATATATAATATAGAAAACAGATATCCAAAATAAATGTATGTATACATCCATCAAAATATAAATTTTACTGTTCACATTTTACGTTTAATTTTCCTCACTGTTAAATAAATGAATATAAAATAAAAATATAAATGTCCAACATGCCTCTAGGTGACCAGTCCATCTCTAGAGTTACACTTGATTTAAATGATATATACTAATGTAACTATAAACTGTAACTGCACATATTGTATATTGAATTCAAGAACAAGTGAGACGTGTGTAAAAGCAGAAGTCAATGTGAGCAGTGAGGAGGTTTTTGTCATGGTGTGAATCACTGTGATACGTACTCACTAGCAGAGCCGTCCCATGTGTTACAGTAATACACTGCAGAATCACCAACATCCACATTACTGATGATCAGATTATAGTCAATATTTGACTGAGCTGTAGATGTGAAGCGGCTGGATGTAAAACCATCACCATATGCGTCAGGAGAGCTGTGTCCATAATAGAATCTCAACACAAACTGAGGAGCTGCATTTGGATTCTGTTTATACCAGTGGACATAATAACCTTCATACTTTTCAATGTTACAATCCATAGTCACAGATTTGCCTTTTTGTTCTGTCAGCACAGAGGGTTTCTGTGTGACCACTTTCACAGATCTGACACCTGTAAAATCATGATAAATATAATTAATTTCATCAACTTTGACACCCCTGAGAGAACAACATGTTTGTAGTGAAATAACTTACATGACAGAAGAGTGAGGAGAGTGAAGTAGAAAATGATCAGCATCTTCCCTGTGAAGCAGTTTGAGTTTAGTGGAGAGATGAAGAGAATAAGAGAGACTGAGAGACTCATATATGAGGAAGAGAAACTCTGAAAGAGTGACGATCACTGGAGTTCAGCCAATCATTTCATCCAGCAACTGCTTTAATATTCTCAATTACTTCATTTATGGAAAAAACTGAGAAAACACACAATTTCCATCCAGCTATAAATGTGAGTCATTAAGAAGGAGCTTCGATCTAAAGGACATAAAACACATTTAAAGGAAGCTCAGGTTCACCTAATAGTTTGTCAACTTGTCAAATATTGCAAGATGTCATATTTGTCATGTTTGTAAAATCATACAATCTGCACTCCTAAAATCTCACTTTACTTTTACTAGTGCTGCGTTATCCAGTATATGTTTACGGATAATCTACAGTAATTTGTCAAAAGTGAATAGCAGAAGAAACCGTGTCTCATAATGAAATGCTCTTGACTGCAGTTTTATCTTTCTCTCTTCTGTCATTCCACACTTCAGGTGAGTTTCCTGGTTTGCTGTGATACTGCATTAGTCAAACTGATCTGCTCTTATAACAGAATGATTGCAGGAGTTTTGAACAGATTTATCCACTATTAGCTGTTAGAGAGTATGTGTGATGAATGAACATCATGTTTAACCATTCCTGACTATTTGATCAGATTTCCAAATGTTAAAGGGGTCATGTTATGATATTTTAATATGTTCCTTGAGGTCCACTTATAATGTAAATAGTTATTTTGCTCAAAAATGCTGAAAAACTGCAACCTTCATTCTGACCCTCTGTCTGAAATGTATATAGAGTATATGAGTGATGAATGAACAAGATGTTTAACCATTCTTGGCTTTGATCAGATTTCCAAAGGTTGAAGTCACCATGAAATCAAAAGTTTTTATGAAATGTTGCAGTATTTATTATAAATTACTTATCCAAGCACGTCATTATTTTTTACATTTATGTTCCCTGATTGTCAATTACAGACATATATTTTTAATAGTAGGTAGTAAAAGTTATAAATGAGTAAGCTACGTGATGCAAAATAAAGCATTGATTAGATATCACAAAATCATGTTAATTACAATGTGGTCTTCCTGGCAGAACTTAACGCTAAAGCTTCCATATCTGACCAGCTCCAGTAAAGTCACTCTGGTGTGTCTGATCGATCACATGTCTGTGGCTTTTGCTGATGTGCGCTGGCTTGTGAATGGGAACTCTGTTACTACAGGCGTCTTCACCGGCTCTGCTGAACAGCAGCCCGATCAGAAATTCAAGATGAGCAGTTATTTAACCATTGAGAGCTCAGAGTGGGACAAAGACCAATATCTGACATGTGAAGCGTCTGTTGCCTCAAAAATCACCAGCACAAGCATCAAGAAATCTGAATGCAGCGACTAAACTCACAGAATCTGATGTGTTGTTGAGTGATTATGATAGCGAGTAATAATATCTTCTGACGTAGTGTAATAGAAATCATGAATATAGAAACCATTAAAAATAGTTCAAGAATGTAGCCTGAACTGTGTCATTTTCTGCAGACAATATTCTGGCTTTAATGATGATGTAAGATTTACAACCTGTTTAATAAACCGCATGTTGAACAAACAGTTTTCTTACTGATTTTGCAGAGAAATTAAGCATGTAACCATTTAAAATGTTTTAACTACTTCCTTACAAAGTCAGTTTTCACTTCTACGATCAATGGACAAATGAATAATAAAAGTACTATCATTGTGTAAATACTCAAATGAACCATGAAACCTCAGATCTTCAGTGGAAAGAGCAAATTAAACTAGTGTTACTGCTAGTAAATATCATTTGTTTAGAGCACAGCAGAGATGAATGTCGTCTGAATATGGAGACGATCACATGACTGATAATGAACTATAGTGACTCAATGACAGATGAAAAATGACTATTATTTGATACAAGTTACGATCTAAACTATGAGAAACAAAATGATGGCCTGACATTCATGTGATACGACATCATGTAAATATGGATTTTAAAGTTGGTCTTCTAGCAGATGCAGTGAGCTGTGGAGATTTTCTTCAGGACAGGAAGTTCATTCTGACACACAGGAAACACCTGCTGTTATAATCAGCTCTATGTAAATCATCAGTTTCTCTGCTCTTTTTATCTGTTCATTCAACCAGACAAGAGCATTACCAGCAAATCATCAGGGAATCTTCATCTGTACATGAACAATAATAAAGGAGCAATACAATTAATAAAACTTAAAAATATATAATAGTTAGTTATAATAGTTAATGAAATTTGTGACATTGTTTTTGGCTCTCACTGTTTCTAATTCTGATTTATGACGAATTTAAATATTTCAGAACAGAGACTTTTTTTTGACATCAAACTTTTGGATTTGTTACTTGCGTTATTTTAATGAATAATGAACTCTTTTGTAAATCAAGTTTCCTCTCACCAAAAAAAAAAAGTACACTCCAGTATGTTTGATGACTTACAATTTAAAAAAGTATTTCAACCTTATGTATGTTAATACATAAGTTTAGGTAAATATATTGTATGTTTCGTGATGATGTGTATGATGATGAATGATGATGTCACTGAGAGGCTCCTCCCTCTTCAGTCTCTTATACTCGTCTCTGATCGCTCTTCTCTATTCAATCTCACATCACACACTCACAACATGCTGACAGTCTTCATCATCCTCATCATCACTCTGTCATGTAAGACATCACTGCAGTTAAAGATGCACATCTAATATGATCATGAATATGTGATATTGTGTCTCAATAATGGTGTGTTTATTCTCAGGTGTCAGTGGAGTGACTGTAGTGACCCAGAATCCTCCATTAATCTCAGTCAATAAAGGAGAAACTGTGTCATTGGTGTGTAACACAGGCAGCTCTACTGATGGTGGACGCTGGTATAAACAGGTCGCAGGAGGAACGCCCCAGTTTGTGTTAAACTCGCACCATGGCTGGAGCTCTCCTAAATATGGATCTGGTTTTTCCTCTCCTAAATTTACAGTATCTTATCCTACTGAGTCCGACTGTCATCTGTCAATCAGTAATGTGGATGTTGGTGATTCTGCAGTGTATTACTGTCACACATGGGACAGCTCTGCTAAAGAGGAGGTATCACAGTGATTCACAGCATGACAAAAACCTCCTCACTGCTCACATTCACTTCTGCTTCTAGACAACAGATGATAAGACCACTAACTTACTTCACTTCTCTGATCCATGATGAATTTCAAACTAATCACAGATGCTGAGAATATTCTCCAATTTCTTAAAGGAACACTCCGACTTTTTGGGACTTTAGCCTATTCACCTTATCCCCCAGAGTTAGAAAAGTCCATACATACCTTTTTCATCTCCGTGCTGTTTTGTAAGAAGTCTGTTTGACGCACCCACCGCTAGCCTAGCTTAGCACAAAGACTGGATGTAAATGGTTGCAGCTAGCATACTAAGTGACAAAATAACGGAAACATTTTCCTATTTACATGTTGTGATTTGTATAGTCACAGAGTGTACAAAAAACAAAGTCACATGAGACACACACGTGCGCGGGCAGTCGGTGTTTGTGTTTGAAAGCTCCGTCGAATCAATTCATTAATCCTTGATTTTCTTCTTTACCACTCATTTATAAACAAGCACTTTCTATTTTTATATCATGGGAACTTATCCTCGATACTATTCCTTATAAAAAACAATCGGATTGCTTTGATATCGCTACTTAGACCCAACTTTGCGAATCTCGGCTACTAGCCTTTAGTCCGCTAGCATTTCACGCGTGGCCTCGCGCCTATTGACCGTCTGATTTTACACCCGTTTCACTGAAAGGATACAGGTTATATCCAGCATTTCAGTCCTAAATTACTAGTGATATTGGTAGTATCACTACTAATCTACTGTTCATCTGTTATGGCGAACATATCAGATGTGTGTCTAACGTTACCTCTGAGTGCAGGTGAGGACACATTCGAACTGATTTCGGTACGATTGGAGCTTGAATCGGTGGAGAAACAGATCCGTGGTCTGCTAGAGAGGCAAGCCGAGCTGCGGGATCGGCGATCAGCGCTTGAAACGTCAAGCGCCGATGCACACAAGTCAGTGGTTAGTAACTTTTTGACTCCGACTTCGTCTACTCCGTGCGTTTCTCTGCCCAGGAGGACGCGATCATCTCTGGCTTCATTCAGTCCGGCACCGACACAACACCATGGACCCTGGGTGATCCCACAGCGGAAGACACGAGCCAGGACCAGAGCAAGATCCTCTCCGCCCCTCCCGGTCTTCGAGATCTCCACCCGGAACCGCTTCTCCCCTCTTCGCGAGTCGGTATGCGACGACGCCGTGATCATCGGCACTTCCATGGTCCGTCATGTCCGTGCTACCTCAGGTAAGGGTAAGGTGCGCACTCACTGCCTTCCTGGTGCTCGTGTTCTTGATGTCGCCGCACAGGTTCCCGAGATCGGTGAAGAGCACGTCGGAGCTGTGGTGCTGCACGCGGGAACGAACGATATCAGGCTACGGCAGACGGAGGTTCTGAAGAAGGACTACAGGAGCCTGATCGAGACGGTACGCAGCACAGCGCCTGAGGCAACGATCATCGTGTCTGGACCGCTTCCCACGTACCGATAAGGACAGGAAAGGTTCAGTAGATTATTTGCACTAAATGAATGGTTAATGTAATTGTGTAATGAACAGAAACTGCTCTTTGTAAATAATTGGAATCTGTTCTGGGAGCGACCTAGGCTCTACCGTGCTGATGGCCTGCACCCCGGCAGAATCGGAGCGGCTGTTCTGTCGGACAACATCTCCAAGACGTTACACACCGTATGACTAGAAAATCAAATTCCAAATCACAGTCTTTGCTGTGCCAATTTAATTGATATAAGTAGTGTAGAACATTATATAGAAACTGTGTCTATTCCTCGTTTAGTGAGGCCAAATAATAAATCCACTGTAGGATCTAGGAAAAATCTTATTGTAATTAAACCTGAAAATCTAAATATCAGTGAACAAAAACAATTTCTAAAACTAGGTCTTCTAAACATTAGATCGCTCACACCTAAGGCGGTTATTGTAAATGAAATGGTCACAGATAATAGCTTCGATGTACTTTGCCTTACTGAAACCTGGCTTAAACCAAACGAGTATTTCGGTCTAAATGAGTCTACCCCGCCAGGATACTGTTATAAGCATGAGCCCCGTCTGATCGGCCGTGGCGGCGGTGTTGCAACAATCTATAGAGATATTATTAATGTTACTCAGAAAACAGGTCACAGGTTTAACTCGTTTGAAGTACTTGTGCTAAACGTTACGCTCTTAGATGTAAGAAAGAAATCCCTATTATCTCTAGCCTTGGCGACCGTATATAGATCTCCAGGGCCCTATGCTGATTTCCTAAAAGAGTTTGCAGACTTTCTCTCAGATCTATTGGTCAATGCCGATAAAGCAATAATTGTTGGAGATTTTAACATACACGTAGATAACACAAACGATGCGTTAGGGACTGCGTTTACAGATTTATTAAACTCCTTTGGGGTCAAGCAAAACGTCAGTGGTCCCACTCATCGTCTAAATCATACACTAGATTTAATTATATCCTATGGAACCAATCTAACCGATATAGATATTATACCGCAAAGTGACGATCTCACTGATCATCACATGGTAACTTGTATAATACGCACTGCTGAAATTTGTCATGTTGCGCCACGTTATAGACCAGGCAGAACAATCCTTCCGACCACTATAGATAGATTCTCAAATAGCTTACCTGATCTATCTCAGCTGCTCAGTGAACCCAAACAAACAGATGAACTAGAGGAAATGACCAGCAGTTTTGAGCACCATTTTCTCTAGTACATTAGATATTGTTGCACCAATTAGATCAAAAAAGGTTAGAGAGAAAACTAAAGCACCATGGTACAACAGTGCTACGCATGCTATCAAGAGAGAAACTCGTAACCTAGAGCGTAAATGGAAACAAACTAATTTAGAGGTCTTTAGAATCGCGTGGAAAGACAGTGTGTCACGTTATAAAAAAGCTCTAAAAGCAGCCAGGGCTGAGCATCTCCGCAAACTAATAGAAAATAACCAAAATAATCCAAGGTTTTTATTTAACACCGTGGCTAGACTAACAAATAAACAGACATCACCCGAGCAAATTATTCCGTTACAGTATAGCTGTAATGATTTTATGAACTACTTCAATGAGAAAATAGAAAGCATCCGGAACACAATTGTAAATGTACAATCCTCTATGGTGTCTTATGATTCAGCCTCAATTATCGCCCCTCTGGAACAACTACACTGCTTTACAACTATAGGACAGGAAGAGCTAAATAAACTTATCATTGCATCTAAACCAACAACATGTTTATTAGATCCAATACCAACTAAATTTCTGAAAGAAATGTTACCTGTAGTGGAAGAGCCTCTTCTTAATATTATTAACTCGTCTTTATTCTTAGGTCATGTTCCAAAAATATTCAAGCTGGCAGTAATAAAACCTCTCATTAAGAAACCGCAATTAGATCCAAATAACTTAGCAAATTACAGACCGATTTCAAATCTTCCATTTATGTCTAAAATACTAGAAAAAACTGTGTCCGCTCAATTGTGCTCTTTCATGCAAGAAAATGAGATATGTGAAAAATTTCAGTCAGGATTCAGACCGCATCATAGCACAGAAACTGCGCTAGTTAAAATTACAAATGATTTACTTTTAGCTTCTGACCAAGGCTGTATCTCAATACTAGTTCTACTCGATCTTAGTGCTGCGTTTGACACTATCGATCATAAAATACTCTTGGATCGACTACAAAACTACACTGGTATTCAGGGACAGGCATTAAGCTGGTTCAGATCGTATTTATCAGACCGTTACCATTTTGTTTGTTTAAATGGGGAAAAATCGAAGATAACGTCAGTAGACTATGGAGTGCCGCAAGGATCGGTGTTAGGCCCTCTGCTATTCTCAATATATATGCTGCCACTTGGTAATATTATAAGAAAACATGGAATTAATTTCCACTGTTATGCTGATGACACTCAATTATATATTTCATCACGGCCAGATGAAAACACTAACTCATCAACATTGACAGAGTGTCTTAAAGATATAAAATGCTGGATGACGCATAATTTCCTGCTACTAAATCCAGATAAAACGGAGGTATTACTTGTTGGTCCAAAAAACTATCCACAAAACCACTTACAATACAACTTTAATTTAGAAGGATGTCCTGTTACTTTATCCTCTACGGTAAAAGACCTGGGTGTTATACTAGACCACAACTTGTCTTTCGAAAATCATATTTCATATGTTACAAGAACTGCCTTTTTCCACCTTAGAAACATTGCTAAATTATGTAACATGCTATCTGTTTCTGATGCAGAAAAGTTAGTTCATGCATTCATGATCTCGAGACTAGATTACTGTAATGCTTTATTAGCTGGTTGTCCTGCATCCTCAATAAACAAGCTACAGTTAGTGCAAAATGCAGCCGCTAGAGTTCTTACTAGGTCAAGAAAATATGATCATATAACACCAATTTTATCATCTCTGCACTGGTTACCGACCAAGTTCCGTGTCAATTACAAAGTACTATTACTGACCTATAAAGCCCTAAATGGTTTAGCTCCTGTGTATTTAATGGACCTTCTATCGCCCTACAATCCATCGCGTTCTTTAAGATGACTATATTCGAGGCTTCTAGTCATTCCTAGGATATCTAAGTCCACTCAACGGAGGGAGGGCGTTCTCACATTTAGCTCCTAAACTCTGGAATAGCCTTCCTGATATTGTTCGAGGCTCTGACTCGCTGTCCCAGTTTAAAACTAGATTAAAGACGCATCTCTTTAGCCAAGCATTTACATAATGCTTACCTTTTAGAATACTGCTGAATCAGATCAAATGCATTTAATACTATAAAACTTGAAGAGACTGTAGGTTATCTGTATAGGTTGCATAGTATTTGCAGTCATTACGTTCCTGTGTATATTGCATGAATGACGGGTGGTTGGGCAGATATTGTGTTGCGGTAGGTAGTATGCCATACGGAACCGTTGCCACTGAAACTGCCTATTCACGCACCAGTGGGGCTCGACAGCCTTAGTCAAACGGGTTGGCGCGTATGGTTGGGTTGCGGAGAGATTGTGAGATTGTGGTTAGGTCTCAGCAGCAGGAGGGACGTAGAGGTCAGTAAGCTGGGCTGAGTTGAGTGGGGGACGGAGGGGGGTGATTTTGGGACGCAAGAGTCACTGTCTTCATGTTTTATCATTTACGCCTGTGTTATGGAAATCATCATTATGAACAGCAGCTACGCTAATTATTTTCCCTTTGCTTTTCTGCTGTTATCTCGGGACGCGAGTCCCGAGAAAATGGCGTTCGTCAGCTCCAGTTTGTATCCAGCCTCTCACGGAGACTTCAGATGCTCCAATCACAAAGCCTATGAAGTGACGACTCAACACGGGCGATATGGACTCTCTATGGTGGACGGCACTGATCCTCAACTACTCGTCTTAAGACCGGCGTGATTACTTGGACTTCCAAAAAAATACTCTAAATGTTCCGATCCAATCTGACTTGTAATGCTGCCCGAATCATGCACTGTTCCTTCGTTGGCCAGAGGAGAACTGGCCCCCCGACTGAGCCTGGTTTCTCCCAAGGTTTTTTTCTCCATTCTGTCACCTGATGGAGTTTTGGTTCCTTGCCACTGTTGCCTTGGCTTTTGGCTTGCTTAGTTGGGGACATTTAATATTCAATAATATTATTGATCTGCCTTACTTAAGGTGGACGTTGACGCAATTTCTTTTAGAAACAAACTTTGTTATATTGTTTTCATGTTATCACTGTGAAGCGCTTTGATACAATCTGTATTGTAAAAAGCACTATATAAATAAAGGTGACTTGACTTGACTTCACACAGACATATTTTATGAGACACAGACATACTTGGGCGGAGTGATAACCGCAGCACCTGAGACGCGCTCTCTGCTCCTCACCACGGCTCGTCTCAGGTGCTGCGGTTATCACTCCGCCCAAGTAGCAGTGCTTCGCCTTCAGAGAATATAGTTCCCAGTATTTGTACGGTTAAAATATGTCTGTGTCTCATGTGACTTTGTTTTTTGTACACTCTGTGACTATACAAATCACAACATGTAAATAGGAAAATGTTTGCGTTATTTTGTCACTTATTTGGATTAGTATGCTAGCTGCAACCATTAACATCCAGTCTTTGTGCTAAGCTAGGCTAGCGGTGGGTGCGTCAAACAGACTTCCAGCACGCACGGAGATGAAAAAGGTATGTATGGACTTATCTAACTCTGGGGGATAAGGTGAATAGGCTAAAGTCCCAAAAAGTCGGAGTGTTCCTTTAAATATTGTATCTGTTAAATGAACTTTGTTGCTTTTTATGCAGTTTTTTTTTGTCCTGAATATGGATCTGGATTCTCCTCTCCTAAAACTACAACTGTACACTATCAATAGTATAGCACAATACTCATAAATATAGACGTGGAATGTCATATAAACACTTTGGATCTGTTTCAGCTTCTCTCAAGAAGAATGCATGATTTATTATATGGTTAATTAGGAGGATTTTCCATTTCATTTGAAAGTCTGTACCTTCTACTTCTCTTCACTCCTCTTTCATCCCTTCCTTTCTGTTTATGTCTTGCACTTTCTTCTCTTATTCTTTCCAGTACACCAAAATTCACCCATCTCTTCATCCTCTCCTTTTCTTAAACTCTCTCCTCCTCTCCTCTTCATCTCTTTCTACCTGTTTGTCTTTTCTCTTCCGTTCCTCAATTCCGCTGAGTAAACAATTACAAAAATTGCATTTCCTGTGATGTGTATATTATTAACCCAGAAGATACCAGTTTGAGGCCAAATGAAATAATTCCTTGTGCTATTGAGAATATGAGAAATTACAGAGTTTTGTTTGCTGTGTTTGTAAAAATAAATGTTTTGTGATTTTTGTATAATTCAATAAAAAGAGCTGCACATGTTTTCTTCCTGATATATTAGACTTTTTGGTCGGATGTGTGAACTGTGAACACATTTGAGAAGTTTATACTCAATGTTTTGAGGAAATTATGCATATGATTTGTAATTTGTATGAAATAAATTAAATCTGTTTAGGACAATTAAAAAGTGTTCAGATTACTGTGTTAAATGTAATCTGAGTTTGCAGAAATGTGTCAAATTGATTGAGAAAAACTTTAACATTTTCCTCAGTGATGAAGTGAGAAGCTCATACAGTTTGTAAGATGTGGGCGTGTCTATTGTATGTTGTGGGCGGGTCTATTATATGAGGTGGGCGTGTCTATTGTACGAGGTGGGCGTGTCTATTGTATGATGCGGGCGTGTCTATTGTACGAGGTGGGCGTGTCTATTGTATGCTGTGGGCGTGTCTATTGTATGATGTGGGCGTGTCTATTGCACGATGTGGGCGGGTCTTTCAGTGGCTCCTCCCTCTCAGAGATCTTGACTGTCTTAAAGTTTCTCTCTCTGATCGTCTCAGCATTATTCTACAGCACTGCTCATCTTTACACGTCACACGGAACAAATCACAAGATGATCACAATAATCTGTGCTTTCTTTACTCTTCTGACCTGTAAGTTTTCATCATTTCTGATGTCAGATTTAAAGTGTTTTGGCACAATCTCATATAAAAGTTGTGTTTATTCTGCAGGTGTCAGTGGAGTGACTGTAGTGACTCAGAGTCTATTAATCACAGTCAATAAAGGAGAAACAGCTAAACTGGACTGTAATCTGGGGACAGTAACTGATTCTGGTGCTAGATGGTACAAACAGACTCCAGGAGGAGTTCCTCAGTTTGTGTTAGTGTTTTATCATGGCTCGAGCTCTCCATTATATGGATCTGGTTTCTCTGCTCCAAAATTCACATCAACACATTCATCTAAATCAGATTATAGTCTGATCATCAGTAATGTGGATGTTGGTGATTCTGCAGTGTATTACTGTAACACATGGGACAGCTCTGCTAAAGAGCACGTATCACAGTGATTCACAGCATGACAAAAACCTCCTCACTGCTCACATTCACTTCTGCTTTTAGACAACAGATGATAAAAGCACTACTTCACTTCTCAGTTTCATGATGAATTATATACGAATGTTGAGATTATTCTGCAATTTCTTTACTATTATGTCCTGTAAGTAATTCTTTAGAGAAATATGTAGGTAACACATTTTATGAAGTCTATGCTTATAGTGAATTATAGCCCCATTTATACTTATTTATGAGTAAGTACTATTACTATACATATATTTATAAAGACTCATTAAGATCTATACTGAATTATAAGAACAGTTATAGTGACATTTATATATATATATTTTTTAAATACAAGTCATGCGTTTTAATTTTCAATACACATGCTCATAATGCATTATACACTGATTTATAAATAGATCAAATATAAAATAGTTCCAGTCAGAGATACTTGTTTGGTGTACCAATTAGTTATCAATTATGTCTTTATGTCTTCATGAATAGTCATTTTGATTTGTTAAAATCTATATCTCAGCCATATGCATGGTGTTGCTTATAGCAGTTTGAAATCATACTTTAAAAAAATGGTTGTAGTGTTTTGCTAGTATGTAACATGACAAAAAAAAAACTGTTTGTATTTAATGATTTCTGTGTTGTTTTTATCATTTGATGAAGGTAAGCAGGAGAAGCGGAGGGGGATTGTGAAGCAACTTCCAACCCCATTACAGATTGCTGATTTAAAGCACAGGCAACATGGAAAGGCAGCCGAGTGGATGTACTCCGCCATAAAACAAAAACTAAGTTAGTTAGTGTTTTGAATAAAGGAGTATGTGTGTTTGTTTTTTCTCTCTATCTCAGGTGTTTCAACAAGGGTGTATTTTAATGTAATAATACAATGGATGTTGTAATTAATTAGGGATATTTGAATCCATTAATGCGTCGATATGAATTTGTAATGATGGCAATATGGTTATTTTATTGTGTTTTAGAACGTGTTTGTGTCATGTTGTGGGTTTTGTGTCTTGTTCGTGGTTCTTGTCTGTCATGTGATTCCCTGATTGTCATGTGATCCTGATATGTGTCTTGTCATTTGTAAATCGTCTGATCATTGTTTATAGGCGTTCCTTCTCTTGTTATTAGTCTGTGTATTTAAGCCTTCACGTTTGCCCTGTGTCTTTGTCTATTGAATGTTCCTGTTGTTGTTTTGTTTTCTTTCATGCCTTGCCATACCTTTGTTTTGTGTTGATAATTAAAGTTGCATTTGGGTTCTCTACATCTTGCCTCCAGTGATTAGTTACATAATACTAGACCAAATTATGGACCCAGCAATCCATCTCTTTCGACCTCAGCCAAGGTGACCGCCCGATTGAAAGGTACTTAGAAGAATTTTGTGAGCTCTGCCATGGGGCGGACTTTAACGATGAGGTCCTAAAGGACATGTTCTGCTATGGGCGGACATTCTGGAATACCTCATGCCTGACAACACCCCTCATTGGACTTTAAGGCAGTATATTGACCTTGCCCTTCGGATAAGCGGCTCGTCCTTCACGGTGGGCTTTGTGGATGAGGGGCCCCGCAAGCCCACAGTATCCTCTCAGCCAGAGCCAGCTCACGTCATGCCTGCCGAGCCTGAGCCTCTTTACGCCCCTTGATAGGACCATGGAGGCCGCGCCGCCATTGTCTCCTGAACTGTCTGGTCCACCCTGGCCACCTGAACCATCGGATCTGCCCTGGGTCCCTGAACCGCCTGCACAGCCTGCTTCGCCCTGGCCTCCCGTCCTGCCACAGTCTCCAGGCCCTTTTCCACTCCACGGGCTGGATCCGCCCACGCTCCACGGCCCAGGTCCGCCGTTGCCATGTCCTGGTCCCATTCCCCTCCATGGACCTGACCCTCCATCCCTCCCCCAAGACAACCTCCGCTCCACCACCCTCCTGAACTATTGTGTTTTTTTTTGTTTTGATGGGCAGCAAAATACAAAATAGCTCTATGTGCTTTTTTTTGTTGTTGTTTTTTTTCCTGTTTGTTTGTTTAGTGTATTAGTTGGTCTGTAGCTGGCTAGTGGAATTGTTTATTTATTCGTTTTCTTTTTTTCCCTTTAAATTACAGTATGTATTTAATTTGTAAGGGGCTTTTCACCCTTGATTAAGCAGCGGGGGAGCTTCCCATCGTAGTCGGTGGAGAACTAGTACAATTTAATAGAGCCCTTCCAGGTTTTGTGGGTTGATTTGTGTGGTTACTAATTGTGAATGTGTATCACATAATCCGGTCTGTATTGAAAGGGTTTCTGGGGGTTTGGTGTGGTTTTCACAGAATGCAGTAAAGTGTCCCCTGTATAGGTAGCTCAGTTCCTTTGTTCCCAGTTGGACAGTCTGAGAAATTGCTGCCCATGTCAGCTGACTTGAGTCAGGGTTAATGTCTGTTGTGTTCTCTATTGCATTGCTATAATGTTCATGTCCACTAGGTGGCACTGATATGTTGACATGTTAAACTGATGAAAGAGGAGAAGGAAAAAAGTCAAAGAAATGCTAAGCTACTACTTGCGTGCAGTGTCTTGCTTTGTTTAATGAACGAAAACACACATACACAGGAAGAGTTGTTCTCGAACGTGCGGTTTACTCTGTTTTTTAACACTTCTTCCGTATCACGTAATCATACGTGCTTACATCACAGTCTGGCGTTAAACACAAAACATGGACCAGGAGTTATACGTAAACACTACATTCATCCCTTATTCAAAATAAAGATGTACCTACAACATAAGATTTAAAGTATGCCATATTGTGTACAGTATAATCAAAACGAAAAAAAAAAAAACTAAGATTAAGGTCCTATCGTTTTTGGAACATGTCAAAACCTTAAAACAGTTAGCAAAATAAAATGAATACTTGTGGACCATTGTTTGAATCATGTTGAAAACAACATTTTACATTTCCTCAATCAAATATCTTGGTGCCCTGCGATTTGGTCTCAGGTCGTATCGAGGGGTATGTGAAAAGTCAGAGTGTCTTGGATCGGCGGTAGTGTGGCGTGTGCTTCGTGGAACATTGTCCTGAAACACATCAGAATTTGGAGCTTGTCCTCTGACGTCATCTTCATCATCAGAGATGTTGTTCTGCTCAACTGAGAGATGGGATCGGATTCTTTTGAAAAATGAGGAATTTCGTGTAATGCATCTTCCTGAACGACTTGCTGTTACCATTGACCCTTTGACCTTGATTACCTTGTAGGGTTTTATCTCATATGGAGTCGTCAACTTTCCTGTCGAGGGTTGTCGGCAGAGTACAACGTCACCAGTCTTGATACTGGATTCTTTTGCTCTGTTCCGAAGATCTGCATACCTTTTCATCCGTTGCTTAGCAACGTGATCAATGTCGCTGAGGTCAGTTTTTGGTCTGTCTTGTGGATTTGAAGGTAATGTGGTATTAATCTGTCTTCCGAACAGTAGTTCTGCTGGAGGCTTTTGGGTGGTCCCATGTGGTGTTGCTCTGTTATTTCTTAGGAAACTATACAGGCACTGCTTCCATGGTTTACCTTCTGCATTGCTGGTCATGACTGTCTTTTTAAGTGTTCTCATGAATTGTTCTACTTCTCCGTTCGCTTTAGGCCAGTACGGGGTTATCTTTCTGTGTTTGAAACCAAGATATGAACTGAAATCTGCAAAACAGTGACTATTGAATGGTGGGCCATTATCAGTTTTGACTGTCCTGGGTATGCCAAAAGCCGAGAATATCTTGTCCAGTTTGGGAATCACAGCAGTTGCTGCTGTAGACTTGACTATCTCCACTTCTGGTTACCTGGAATGATCATCAACTACTACCAGCAAATAGTCACCAGAAGGAAACGGACCAGCAAAATCCACAGAGACCTCTGATCATGGTTCTATTGGATCAGACATGTTGAGGGGTTCCGAGTGATGCTGGAGCGTGGCTGCTTGACATGGAACGCATCCTTGCACAGCTTTTTCCACTTCTGCATCGATACCAGGGAACCATACCTTTTCTCTGACCAGCTGTTTAGTCTTCACGATGCCCATGTGTCCTACGTGTGCAAGTTGGATGGCTTTTTGATACAAAGAGGTAGGTAAAACAAGTCTATTCCCTCTGAGGACAATGTCTTGTGACGCGTTAACTGTGAGCTCATGTCTCAGCTTATGAAATGCCTTCAGTTTTGTGTAGCATGCGCCTGACATGGTCTGCTTCAAATGTGTCCAGGCTTTACCTTTCAACTCTTTTATCACTGTTTGTAGGACAGAGTCTTTCCTCGTTTCATGTCGTACTTCATCTAAAGTCATTGCTTTTGGAACTGTGTTGTCAATTATGAAGTTGACGTGTCTTTCTGCGTTTTCTGAACAGTTGTCCGTGTGTTGTCCATCCACAGGATGCCTTGATTTGATGTTCCGGCCCCCAATTCCATGAGTGGTCTTTCCGGATGAGTTCACGCAATGGCTGTGTGGTTGTTGCGTAGTCTTGAATGAACCGAGAACAGTATGTTGTCATTCCGAGCAGACTGCGTAATTCGGACACATTCTGTGGGGCTGGGAGGTTCTTGATGGCTGTTATCTTCTTTGGATCTGCAGAAATTCCTTTGTCTGAAAACACATATCCAAAGAAGTCTAGTTTTGTCTTACTGTACTCACACTTATCTTTGTTGAGGGTGAGATTTTTCTCTCTAAGTCTCTTGAATACCGCTTGCAGACAGGCGTTGTGTTCGTCTCGCGATTTACCAAAAACTATGATATCATCACTCATGTTTTTGACGTTCCCGTAATCCCAAAATTCAAACGAGTGTACCTCCAGAGGCCTGCATGAGTCGTGAATGTTGTTATATACCTGGAATCAGGATTTAGTTCAAGCTGATGATATCCAGCATTCAGATCTAGTTTTGTGAAGAGTACAGCTCCGTTTAAGTCGTGTATCAGATCATCCACCGTCGTGGTGATATGACGTTCTCTTTGAATGGCGCAATTGGGCATTCTCATATCCACGCATATACGCACACTGTCAGGATTTTTGGGTTTTGGTGCAACAACTATAGATGATACCCATGGTGTCGGGCCGCTGACTTTTTCAATGATACCTTGTTGTTCAAGTTCTTCAAGTTCTTGCTCCACTTTCTTTCTGATATGGAATGGAATTCGTCGGTGTGGTTGCACTGTAGGCTTTACGGACTCATCTATGTGTAACTTCACTTGAAAATCTTTCAGCTTTCCGATTCCTTCAAAAAGGTCTTTGTATTCTTCGAGTAATTGATTCACAGTGGGAGCTTCAGCTGGTTTGTCCGACACTGCACTGACTATTTGAAGAATTCCAAGTTCTGTTGCAGTGTTGTAGCTCAGCAGAGAACCTGAGTGACCATCAATCACATAGAACGTGGTTGCTGTGTCCGTGCTGTTGAAACAGACTTTGGCTTGAAATTTTCCTTTTAGTGGAAGTGGAGTGGAAGAGCCATATGCGAAAATCTTTGCATCTGATGGTTTTAATGTGATCTTTTGTTTTATTTTGTGATATGCAGTGTCATCAACAATATTTACGCTTGCACCAGAATCGATGATGACCTTCACTGGCACTCCTGCGATCTCCACTTGTGACTGGGGTTGGTGTTGCGAATGTTGAACTGTGTGTATGACATATACATAGTCTTCATCTGAACTCGCTGACATTTCAGGGAGTGTTTTGGACGCCATATCATTTGTATGCACAGTATTAACTTTTTGTTTGAACTGTTGAAACTTGGGCTTTGCTGGATGTGGGACATTTGTTGTATAGTGTGTTGACCTGCAGCATTTTTGAAAATGATTCAGCTTTCCGCAGCCTTTACAGGTTTTTCCTTTTGCGGGACAGTTTCTCTGACCTCCATCGTGTGGAAAATGTCCTCCACAATTGTTGCATGTCAAACTGTCATTAGTCTTTGTTTTAAAATGTCTCTGTTTGTCTCTGTTCAGAATTTCTTATTTATTACATGTGCTTTGAATGAGCTGGATGATTTTGCATGTATCTCTTCCATGCCAGCTGCTTGTTTATCTGCTGTTTCTTGAGCTCTTCCTGCATCTAATAACTGTTGACGTGTCATTGTAGCGTCGCGGAGTGCCATCTTGCGGAGACGCAATGAACTGCTGCAGCTTAGGATTATCTGTGATTTGATCTCTTTGTCCACATTTGTGAACTCGCATTTTGTTGCTATCTGCCTCAATTTAGTGTGATAAGCATCCAATGTTTCATCTTCACGCTGTCTTGTTTGTCTGAATAAATATGTTTCATATTCAGGATTGGCTTTTGGACAGAAATACGCGTCAAGCTTTCTTACCGCTGTAGCATAGTCGTCTCCCGTTTCTGGCAGCGTTTCAAAAATCCCGCGTGATGTAGTAAGAGGGCTCGTTTCTGCTTGTCCTCAATATTGAATGCTTGTAGATAGTTATCGAATCGACTCTGCCATTTTTTCCATCTCGAGCCGACTGAGCTGGGTTCGGAGTGAAAATCGAACATAGGAAAATGAGGGAGAGTCGTCATCTCGCAATCCGTGCGATTTATACAGCAGGTTTGTTTTTTTGATTTTCGTGTTAAACTTACATCTCGCATCACTCGTCGCCAAAATGTAGTGTCTTGCTTTGTTTAATGAACGAAAACACACATACACAGGAAGAGTTGTTCTCGAACGTGCGGTTTACTCTGTTTTTTAACACTTCTTCCGTATCACGTAATCATACGTGCTTACATCACAGTCTGGCGTTAAACACAAAACATGGACCAGGAGTTATACGTAAACACTACATCGCGTCTGTCTGTTTTATATACATTCATCCTTCAATATAACAATGTCCTGAATCATTTTATGGTCCTGTTTAATAAAGAATTATGTACTTCTCTACAACTTATTGGCTTTTGTGACAGCTTTGTTTCTTTTCCCTTTTTTGGCCCTATCGGGTGTCACATATTACAGGAATTATTGCTCATTAGTTACATTTACAAATAAACAACTTAAAATGTAAAATGAGCACATCTTCATAATTTCTTGACATTTGCTTTAGGAAAATTGCATCATATGTTTTCACTTCACTTAAAGCGATCAATGATGCATTTATAGAGTTAAGTAACTGTATTACCAACGCTATCTCACGACCAATTGGTACGAGTGAGTACGAGGTGGCTAAAGCCCAGTGATTGGTAGGTTTAGGGGCGGGGTCAGGAGGTGGCTAAAGCCCAGTGATTGGTAGGTTTAGGGGCGGGGTCAGGAGGTGGCTAAAGCCCAGTGATTGGTAGGTTTAGGGGCGTGGTCAAGAGGTGGCTGAACCCCAGTGATTGGTAGGTTTAGGGGCGGGGTCAGGAGGTGGCTAAAGCCCAGTGATTGGTAGGTTTAGGGGCGGGGTCAGGAGGTGGCTAAAGCCCAGTGATTGGTAGGTTTAGGGGCGTGGTCAAGAGGTGGCTGAACCCCAGTGATTGGTAGGTTTAGGGGCGGGGTCAGGAGGTGGCTAAAGCCCAGTGATTGGTAGGTTTAGGGGCGGGGTCAGGAGGTGGCTAAAGCCCAGTGATTGGTAGGTTTAGGGGCGGGGTCAGGAGGTGGCTAAAGCCCAGTGATTGGTAGGTTTAGGGGCGGGGTCAGGAGGTGGCTAAAGCCCAGTGATTGGTAGGTTTAGGGGCGTGGTCAAGAGGTGGCTGAACCCCAGTGATTGGTAGGTTTAGGGGCGGGGTCAGGAGGTGGCTAAAGCCCAGTGCTTGGTAGGTTTAGGGGCGGGGTCAGGAGGTGGCTAAAGCCCAGTGATTGGTAGGTTTAGGGGCGTGGTCAAGAGGTGGCTGAACCCCAGTGATTGGTAGGTTTAGGGGCGGGGTCAGGAGGTGGCTAAAACCCAGTGATTGGTAGGTTTAGGGGCGGGGTCAGGAGTTGGCTAAAGCCCAGTGATTGGTAGGTTTAGGGGCGGGGTCAGGAGGTGGCTGAAGCCCAGTGATTGGTAGGTTTAGGGGCGGGTCAGGAGGTGGCTAAAGCCCAGTGATTGGTAGGTTTAGGGGCGGGGTCAGGAGGTGGCTAAAACCCAGTGATTGGTAGGTTTAGGGGCGGGGTCAGGAGTTGGCTAAAGCCCAGTGATTGGTAGGTTTAGGGGCGGGGTCAGGAGGTGGCTAAAGCCCAGTGATTGGTAGGTTTAGGGGCGGGGTCAGGAGGTGGCTAAAGCCCAGTGATTGGTAGGTTTAGGGGCGGGGTCAGGAGGTGGCTAAAGCCCAGTGATTAGTAGGTTTAGGGGCGGGGTCAGGAGGTGGTTGAACCCCAGTGATTGGTAGGTTTAGGGGCGTGGTCAGGAGGTGGTTGAACCCCAGTGATTGGTAGGTTTAGGGGCGGGGTCAGGAGGTGGCTAAAGCCCAGTGATTGGTAGGTTTAGGGGCGGGGTCAGGAGTTGGCTAAAGCCCAGTGATTGGTAGGTTTAGGGGCGGGGTCAGGAGGTGGCTGAAGCCCAGTGATTGGTAGGTTTAGGGGCGGGTCAGGAGGTGGCTAAAGCCCAGTGATTGGTAGGTTTAGGGGCGGGGTCAGGAGGTGGCTAAAACCCAGTGATTGGTAGGTTTAGGGGCGGGGTCAGGAGTTGGCTAAAGCCCAGTGATTGGTAGGTTTAGGGGCGGGGTCAGGAGGTGGCTAAAGCCCAGTGATTGGTAGGTTTAGGGGCGGGGTCAGGAGGTGGCTAAAGCCCAGTGATTGGTAGGTTTAGGGGCGTAGTCAAGAGGTGGCTGAACCCCAGTGATTGGTAGGTTTAGGGGCGGGGTCAGGAGGTGGCTAAAGCCCAGTGATTGGTAGGTTTAGGGGCGGGGTCAGGAGGTGGCTAAAGCCCAGTGATTGGTAGGTTTAGGGGCGGGGTCAGGAGGTGGCTAAAGCCCAGTGATTGGTAGGTTTAGGGGCGGGGTCAGGAGGTGGCTAAAGCCCAGTGATTAGTAGGTTTAGGGGCGGGGTCAGGAGGTGGTTGAACCCCAGTGATTGGTAGGTTTAGGGGCGTGGTCAGGAGGTGGTTGAACCCCAGTGATTGGTAGGTTTAGGGGCGGGGTCAGGAGGTGGCTAAAGCCCAGTGATTGGTAGGTTTAGGGGCGGGGTCAGGAGTTGGCTAAAGCCCAGTGATTGGTAGGTTTAGGGGCGGGGTCAGGAGGTGGCTGAAGCCCAGTGATTGGTAGGTTTAGGGGCGGGTCAGGAGGTGGCTAAAGCCCAGTGATTGGTAGGTTTAGGGGCGGGGTCAGGAGGTGGCTAAAGCCCAGTGATTGGTAGGTTTAGGGGCGGGGTCAGGAGTTGGCTAAAGCCCAGTGATTGGTAGGTTTAGGGGCGGGGTCAGGAGGTGGCTGAAGCCCAGTGATTGGTAGGTTTAGGGGCGGGTCAGGAGGTGGCTAAAACCCAGTGATTGGTAGGTTTAGGGTCGAGTTCAGATGGTCAGGGGTAGGTCATTCCTACAAATTCCTACAAATTAGCCACCTCGTAAAATTTGTACGAATTGCCATGAGATTGGGTTGATTATTACTCACAAGAAGTATTTATAAAAACAAAACACGGGTATTTATAACAATATATTCATTTATTTGACAGAAATAAATCTGAATGACTAAAAAGTCAGTGTAACAATAATATAATAAGATTTTAGCAATGATGGTTGCATCTTTATAAATACATTTATGTAACCTGACTGACTAATTCATAATTATAAATCAGTGAATAATGGATTATGATGAATTATGGATTAAGCATGTTCCCTTCACTAACAGACTTACAGTATGTGACGGATTCAGTTGTTCACTTTCATTTGAAACGCCTGACAAACGGCATCTCCTTCCCAAAGTGAATTCACTCAGTGTTAACAGCTGTAGCCGTGAAAGCAACTTCTTAGACAACCCCAAATAAAGAGAATTACAGTAATCCAATCTGGACGAAGTTAAAGCATAGGTCACCGTTTCCATATCTTTAAAAGACAGGAAGCCTACGAGTGAAGATGTGACTTGTATCACAGTGGTATTCAGCCAAGGAACAACACTGAATGTGATCGGTGAGTAAACTTTACTCTTTCAACACTGTTCAGTCATTTTTTATTTTTGCAAAAATAAAAGGTCAAATTATACAATGAAAAAAATAAATATATATATAGATATAGATTTACTTAAAAAAAATTCTAGAGATTTTATTTCCTGTGTAAATATATTTTAATATTTCAAAATTTACCTCAATAATGATTTTTAAAATCTGAACTTTTATAATTATTAATATTGTTAATAATGGTTAATATTATTAAAATACTTGTAAAGGCTTTTAAAGGCTTGATATTTTTCCTCATGTTGTTTCAATCCATTCATATGTATAGGTAATATTCTGTTCTTTATTAATGTACCAATTATAGAGCCAGATTCAAAGTTAAATTCAATATTAAAATTATGATTCTAGTAACTAAAATAGTTTTATTATCTAGTTAACTGACATCTTGTATTTTATATGCATATGCAATGTGTGTCCTTTAACTGACCCATTTACACAAGTTGCGATACATTTATATATTATATTATATTATATTATATTATATTATATTATATTATATTATATTATATTATATTATATTATATTACATTATATTATATTATTTCTTGTTTCCATGAATTCCCTGCCTGTTTTCTCCAGACTTTCCTCTGGCTCCTCCTGTTCTGACACTCTTGCCTCCGTCCACCGAGGCTCTGAAGGAGAGTAAAGCTACACTTGTGTGTCTGGCTGAGGATATTTCTGTAGCTCTGGTTCATGTCAGCTGGACAGTCAATGGACGCTCTGTTACAGAGGGAGTTTGGAGCAGTGCTACTGAGAAACAACAAGACAAAACCTTCAAAATGAGCAGCTCTCTGACCATCGACTCCTCAGACTGGACCGATAATGTGGATTTCTCATGTGAAGTGTCAGTGGGCTCAACATTCTATAAGAAAAGCATCTCAAACTCACAGTGTTATTGAAATATTGTCTGAATGAAAATAACAGATGTTTTATCTTCTTCTTTATTTCTTTTCATATTGTTTGAATTGTATGATGCCATATCTGAGACTTAATACAAGTATATAGGATACTTTAATTTTTGGTTTTGGTTCTGCAATTAAAGATATTTGGGAAGGCATTCGTTTGCATTTTCTTTCATAGACCTGCATGACTCTCTCTCAGGATACACCTGCACAATGTGCCTCATAATTTCAGCTTTATGTAAATCATGATGTTCCTTTGAGCTCTTTCAGAACTGAAACACACAAACTCAGTCTGTTAAGAAGTCACCAGCTGCACAGATCACAGAGAAATATATTTCATATACACAAAACCACATTGTAATTAACATGATTTTGTGATATCTAATCAATGCTTTGCATCACGTAGCTTACTCATTTATAACTTTTACATACTATTAAAAATATATTTCTGTAATTGACAATCAGGGAAAATAAATGTAAAAAAAATAATGACGTGCTTGGATAAGTAATTTATAATAAATACTGCAATATGTAATACAAAATAAGAATCCTCAATTTTGATTTCATGGTGACTTCAACCTTTGGAAATCTGATCAAAGTCAAGAATGGTTAAACATCTTGTTCATTCATCACTCATATACTCATATACATTTCAGACAGAGGGTCAGAATGAAGGTTGCAGTTTTTCAGCATTTTTGAGCAAAATAAAATTATTAACATTATAAGTGGACCTCAAGGAACATATTAAAATATCATAACATGACCCCTTTAATTTGGAAATCTGATCAAATAGTCAGGGATGGTTAGACATGATGTTCATTCATCACACATATTCTCTAACAGCTAATAGTGGACAAATCTGTTCAAAACTCCTGCAATGGTTCTGTTATAAGAGCAGATCAGTTTGACTAATGCAGTATCACAGCAAACCAGGAAACTCACCTGAAGTGTGGAATGCTTTTCAAGATGGCGGGGCGTATAGACGCTGCGGCTCAGTGCTCTCAGTTATTTGTTGGACCTGCTGCCTAATGTTGGACTAGGGACTGCCTAATGTTGGACCTGGGACTGCCTAATGTTGGACCTGGGACTGCCTAATGTTGGACCTGGGACTGCCTAATGTTGGACTTGGGACTGCCTAATGTTGGACTTGGGACTGCCTAATGTTGACCTGGGACTGCCTAATGTTGGACCTGGGACTGCCTAATGTTGGACTAGGGACTGCCTAATGTTGGACCTGGGACTGCCTAATGTTGGACTTGGGACTGCCTAATGTTGGACTTGGGACTGCCTAATATTGGACCTGGGACTGCCTAATGTTGGACTTGGGACTGCCTAATGTTGGACTTGGGACTGCCTAATGTTGGACTTGGGACTGCCTAATGTTGGACTTGGGACTGCCTAATATTGGACCTGGGACTGCCTAATGTTGGACTTGGGACTGCCTAATGTTGGACTTGGGACTGCCTAATGTTGGACTTCGGACTGCCTAATATTGGACCTGGGACTGCCTAATGTTGGACTTGGGACTGCCTAATGTTGGACCTGGAACTGCCTAATGTTGGACCTGGGACTGCCTAATGTTGGACTTGGGACTGCCTAATGTTGGACTTGGGACTGCCTAATGTTGGACTTGGGACTGCCTAATGTTGGACTTGGGACTGCCTAATGTTGGACTTGGGACTGCCTAATATTGGACCTGGGACTGCCTAATGTTGGACTTGGGACTGCCTAATGTTGGACCTGGAACTGCCTAATGTTGGACCTGGGACTGCCTAATGTTGGACTTGGGACTGCCTAATGTTGGACTTGGGACTGCCTAATGTTGGACTTGGGACTGCCTAATGTTGGACTTGGGACTGCCTAATGTTGGACTTGGGACTGCCTAATGTTGGACTTGGGACTGCCTAATGTTGGACTTGGGACTGCCTAATATTGCACCTGGGACTGCCTAATGTTGGACTTGGGACTGCCTAATGTTGGACTTGGGACTGCCTAATGTTGGACTTGGGACTGCCTAATGTTGGACTTGGGACTGCCTAATGTTGGACTTGGGACTGCCTAATGTTGGACTTGGGACTGCCTAATGTTGGACTTGGGACTGCCTAATATTGCACCTGGGACTGCCTAATGTTGGACTTGGGACTGCCTAATATTGGACTTGGGACTGCCTAACTCCACATGTCTTTGGATTAAGGACTTCCTGATAGGACACACACAGAGGGTCAGAGCCCCCACATTTCCACAGCTCTCAGTCTCAGCACCGGCTCCCCCAGGCCTGTGTGTTGATCCCCCTGCTGTTCCCTCTATATATATATGACTGCACCCCTGTCTATTGCAGCAACATTTTCGTTAAATTAGCCGACGACACCCCAGTGGTGGGCCTCATCTCAGGGGGCGATGGGTCGACCGAGACGAGGTGGAGTGGCTGTCAGTGTGGTGCAGTGACAACAACCTGCTCCTCAATACGTCACACACAAAGGAGTTAGCAATCGATTTCAGGAAGAATAAAAACAGACATTTAACCCATATTCATTGGCGGGGACTGTGTGAGGTAAGGTAAGATAAGGTGATCAGGACTGCAGAGAAGATGATCGGGTGCCCTCTCCTAACTTTAGAGGACCTACACAGTTCACGCTGCCTCAAGAGAGCTCATGGCATCATAAAAGACACATCTCATCCAGGTCACTTTCTGTTCAATCTGCTACCGTCAGGCAGAGGTACACAACCATCAGAACAAAGACAAATCGTTTCAAAAACTCGTTTTTATGCAATAGCTGCACAAGCTCTAAATGCTACATAACACACATGCTTATGTTATATGTGGAATAAGGGATTTGTGAAATCAAATTCGGCAAATATCCATTTACATTTAAATTTTTTCTATTGTACAAATTTATTATATTTTTGTACTGTTTACTGTTTACATTCTGTACCATTTGTTTACATTAGTTTATATTTATATTTTTGGAGTATGTGTGTGTGTGCACTTTTTGACTGAGAGACTAAATTTCGTTGTATAACTATACAATGACAATAAACATACAATTCAAGTCAATTCAATTCGAATGACAGAAGAGAAAAAGATAAAACTGCAGTCAAGTGCAGTCCATTATGAAACACATGTAGTTTCTTCTGTTGTTCACGGCTGTTTTGACAAATGTAGATTATCCATACAGAGACTGTATATACTATACTATTGTGACGATCTGCGGCTGGAGTGCCCGCTTGAGCCTCTGGAGGGCACTCCTTCCTAGTTTATTGTTTCCTTTATGTTTTACCCTGGACTGATTATGGTTTATTTGTTGCACCTGTTTTAGATTGAGCGCACCTGTCTTGAGCCTGAGTTTTCCCTTGGTTTATTGCTCAGTATTGTATGTGTCTGACTGCATTACCTAGCCTTGTTCCAGTTTCCTTGTATTCTAGTGTTTCGGTTCCCTGATTATCTGCCTGTTCCCGGTTTCCCGTTTGCCTTATCCCTGCACGGATTTGATGTTTGTTTGGACTGCACCTGGTTTTGACCCCTGCCTGTTTCCTTGTACCTGTCTCTGGATTCTCCTCTTAATAAAGCCTGCGTTTGGATAACCTCTGTCCATGTTCCATGTGCAGTTTCATGACAACTATACTATACTATACTATACTATACTCTCAGGAGACAAACCGCAATCATGAACTGAGTTTAAATGATTTAATGAACAATTTTAATTTTAATATTCAGCAGTATTGTTTGAAATGAATTATATAAATGAGATACTTTGAAAATAATTTGTTTTTATATTTTTGTGCAATTTTAACATTAGTAGATGTCTATACATTTGATTTCATGTATCACTTCTTAGAGGATTGTCCTTAAACTAACATTAATTTTACAGGAATGGAGGAAACATTATTTTTTCCCCATAAATGAAGTAACTGAGAATATTAAAGTTGCTGGATGAAATGATTGGCTGAACTCCAGTGATCGTCACTCTTTCAGAGTTTCTCTTCCTCATATATGAGTCTCTCAGTCTCTCTTATTCTCTTCATCTCTCCACTAAACTCAAACTGCTTCACAGGGAAGATGCTGATCATTTTCTACTTCACTCTCCTCACTCTTCTGTCATGTAAGTTATTTCACTCTAAACATGTTGTTCTCTCAGGGGTGTCAAAATTGATGAAATTAATTATATTTATCATGATTTTTCAGGTGTCAGATCTGTGAAAGTGGTCACACAGAAACCCTCTGTGCTGACAGAACAAAAAGGCAAATCTGTGACTATGGATTGTAACATTGAAAAGGATTATAGTTATGTAAGCTGGTATAAACAGAATCCAAATGCAGCTCCTCAGTTTGTGTTGAGATATTATCATTCACACAGCTCTCCTGACGCATATGGTGATGGTTTTACATCCAGCCGCTTCACATCTACAGCTCAGTCAAAGATTGACTATAGTCTGATCATCAGTAATGTGGATGTTGGTGATTCTGCAGTGTATTACTGTAACACATGGGACAGCTCTGCTAGTGAGTCTGTATCACAGTGATTCACACCATGACAAAAACCTCCTCACTGCTCACATTCACTTCTGCTTTTACACACGTCTCACTTGTTGAATTCAATATACAATATGTGCAGTTACAGTTTACAGTTACATTAGTATATTTAAATCATTTAAATCAAGTGTAACTCTAGAGATGGACTGGTCACCTAGGCATGTTGGACATTTATATATTTATATTTATTTTATATTAATTTATTTAACAGTGAGGAAAATGAAACGTAAAATTTGAACAATAAAATTTATATTTTGATGGATGTATACATACATTTATTTTGGATATCTGTTTTCTATATTATATATTAAAAAATTATACAGCATATCGGAATAAAGAAAAGATGTGCACTAGTGACAGATGAAGTATCTAGTGAACTGTGTCTGTGCTTCCCTAACACACTTTCTCATATCATTTAATTTCATTCATGAGAAGCGTATAGACTTTAAAAAAAAGCCTTGTAATACCGTAATACACATTCAAATATCACAGTGACTCATTTAAATATATATATATATATATATATATATATATATATTAAAATTAATATATTAA